TCTAAAGTTGAACACTTGGGTATTGGATTAATGATGCCTGTAGCCTAGGTAGCAGGAATTTTACCGGTATTAAAACACACATTGAAAATATGATGTAATGCCTTGATAACACTTTATGACTTAAGGCACTCACTAGGGATACCATCAACACCAGGCGCCTTGTTGTTGTGGCTTCTATCCACTGCTGCCGTAACCTCAAACAGAGTAATCTTAGCGTCAAACAACACATGCATCTCGTCAGATTCATCATTTTCACACATCGGGGCACATTTCTGAACACAAGTATTCCCATTCAGCAATTCACAGTAGTCATTCCGCCATTTATTTAAAACATTTGCACAATTTTCAGACACACTTCCATCTTCCATGTACACTTTCATGGGGATCTGCTTTCTCCTTTCACCACCAACACCAACCTTACCAATCTTCTTCCAAAACTCTCTGTCATTATTATCACACATCTCATCCAAACGTTTACTTTCCTCTCGTACGTACGCACGTTTTGTAGCTTGCACACCTTTGTCAAACAGCTTACGCTTTCTCACAAAATAGTGCTTTAGATACACTCTCTCGTTCCCCCGACTTCTACACTTACACCACTCTCTCTCTGCCTCACACATATCATTCCACAACACACGTAAACCATCATTCCACCAAGGCTTTGTTACGCGACGCTTTTTATTACTCTTACCACCAAAGACAACATAGGTGCGAGATATTAACTTAGTGCGCATCTCTCTCTGCACCAGGTTCGTCAATCTCTCTGCGAATGCCAAAGTGTGTCGTTGCACTATGTATAGATAACGTATTAGTATACCTGTATAGTCGCGTATCATGAGTTACACGCTGCAATCAAAACAGAGAGTGTGGTTATTTCACGTGCTGTGGGGGGTGCCGCTGTGAGTCATACGTCAGTCAGTGTGCCATTCATTACTGAATATTCTCGACTCGGAGTAGTTTTACCTTGAGTGAGTGACCTTAGTTCAACGCCGCAGTATCACGACAGTGTACACCAGAAATGGGCTTCACACAATTGACCAATGTGGGGAATCGGACCCGGGTCTTCGGCATGACGAGCGAACGCTTTTAGGCTACCGGGCCACCTCACAGGTAGTTTTATAATCGACTAAAGTCATTTTGGGGCTCATCTAGCTTTATTGATGGTTCATCTGACTATTTATAGAGGTAGATGCGTACAAGCTTTTTAAGCAAGGTGCGACGTCAGCGAACGGCGACTGTACATGTATATATACTGTGTAGACACATAAGGATTTAAACTCAGAGATTAGTGACATGTATCCAACATGCATGCACGTGCCACGTTCCGTGACGTCAGTGGCTTCGTTCTTGAGACGTGCAATACGTTGTTGAACGTGCATTCCGGGAAAGAGAAACAGAGCAAATGAATGCCACCCAATACTGTCACTTTGTTAAGCTCAACCCCTGCCCTTGCGATCGTTCAAAAAATTAAACGGCTATTGAAACGCCTGCACAACGTCATGAGGCCATTGGGATGGTCCGTGGGGGAATGTCTCAACGACAAGTGGCTGCACATTTCCACTGCCACCGGAACACCATTTCTGCACTGGTGAGACGCTACCAGAACACAAATGACGTCATCGATCGGCCACGTTCTGGGCGTCCACGTGTAACAACGCCAAGACAGGACAGATGGATAAGGGTGACCCATCTTCGCCACAGGTTTCAGACTGCAGTGATGACTGCCCGAACCATCCCAGGACTTTGCCGTATCCACCCCAACACAGTTCGACAACGTTTCCGTCATCACGGGATCAGACCACGACGTCCCGCCATACGGTCTATCCTGACACAACGTCATCGGCAAGCTCGCCGAATGTGGTGCCGAAATCATGTCCGCAGACCCTTGTTTTGATGGAGAAATGTTGTTTTTTACAGATGAGTCCAGGTTTAACATTTCCCATAGTGATGGACGTCAACGTGTCTATAGACGCGTGGGAGAACGTTATGCACAGGCCTGTGTCTTGTAGAGGAATCGCTTTGGTGGTGGTTCCGTGATGATTTGGGGTGGAATAACAGTACGCCAAAGAACTCCTTTGGTGATTGTTCGGGGCAACTTAACTGGTGTGGGCTACAGGGATCAGATTCTTCGACCTGTGGCAATTCCTTTTCTGCAACGTCATGGCCCTGGGTTAACATTCCAACAGGACAATGCCCGCCCTCATACGGCAAGGGTTGCTATGGATTTCTTGCAACACCACAACGTTGACTTACTGCCTTGGCCTGCAAATTCACCGGATCTCTCCCCGATAGAGCATGTTTGGGACGAGATGGATCGACGTCTACGCCGTCTTCCTCATCCTTGCAACAGAACTTGAGAGTATCTGGCGTGACATCCCACAAGCCTTCCTTGCACGTTTGATAGGCTCTATGCGTCGTCGATGCACTGCTGTTCTCAATGCCGATGGTGGACATACCCGTTATTGAGCTTGTGACATGGTCGTTTGACCCCTGTCCCGCTTGTGGACTCGTGACGTCATTGTGATTGACTTTTCAATTGCAATTCTCCCGACTTGTTATGGTCTCATGATCCCTCCATTAAAGTTTATATGTACCTTTGACATTGTTATCGTACTTATCAACTGGGATAATATTTTGACAATACACAGTTTCTTTATGTGGCTAGTATAGTTGCCACATTAGGGCCCCATAGCACTTTTATTAAAGCCTTTCCATTCTCGGGGTGAGACTTTCTTATGTTTGTCTCTCCAACTTACTGACTTGTGTTGTGACATTTAACGTGCGCTTCTCAGCATAATGTGTACTTCAGACACTGGCCCGCCAGGCAAAAATAGCCAGAGAGCTCGAAAGTTATAAGGGACCGTTCATAATTTATGGCTGGGGGGGTGATGATGATTTTTATGGAGAAGCATGTACAATGCGAATGCCCCCCCCCCCAAAGTTTATGTACAAAATAAGTGACCCCCCTACATATTATGTACAAAATTAGTAACCCCCCTCCCCTTCCCATAATTTCTAAGCATAACTTTAAACATATTTTTATGAACAAAATTGCTGACCCCTCCTAGTACGTGTGTACAAAATTGATGACCCCCCTAGCTCCCAAGAACAAAATGGGTGACACCCCCCTTAAAATCATCACCACCACCACCACCCACCACCCCCAGCCATAAATTATGTACGGTCCCTAAGCGTGTTGGTTATAAATGCATGTAGTTTAATTTTGTTCATCATTTGTTGGAAAAGGAGGTTTGTTTGGAATGATGCCATCTTGTGGATCCCATACCTGATATTGACAGGTGTTGTTTACTTGTCAATGACTCGTTCCATGATTTGCAAAATGGTTGATTGGTGCCATGAAAACCATTTTTATGGTTACTCATGTATCAAGTGCATATATATAAAGTTAGATTAAAGTGGCTGTTTGCCTAAAGCGGGGTTTCCATATTATTGTTTATCCAGTTTTAAATGGATACAAATTCAAATAATGAATCTACGTTTGAGTAAAGTTGTGAATTGTTGTGATCCTTAGCAAAATGTGAGTAGTATATCTTATTGCAGACACTACACTAACCATGATGTAAGTCATGAGCGTATGTTGATGCAGTCGTCGTGTGGCAACATCACAGCCACTCAGCTGAGGTGGTAGGTGCAGCTGCATGGTGTCCGAAAGACACCAAAGAAATTCAAACTTGATCCTGACACATATAAGGGAGGCAACTCCGTTGTGTTTAGACCAACTGTCTGCAGTGTTTTTCGGGATTGTTTTCAACCTTGTATATCTTCTTCGATAACGTTTGTAAAGTTTTGCTCAAATCCAGTTTTCAAGCGCGTGCTTTCTTTTGCCTTGTTCATGAGTTGTGTCAGGGATAATCAACAGCTTCTATTCTCCCTGGTTGTGTATAAAAGAAAGGTGGTGGCATAGAAATGGGCCGTGACAAAACGTCAAAAGGGCCTTATTCCTAGTCAAATGGGCCCAACAGAAAAAAAGTTTGGAAAGGTTATACATTATGTATTGACACATATAGCATGGGAACATAATACCCCCATAACATTAATAAAATGGTAATGGCATGGTAATAGCCAAGCATGTAGCCAAGTTTTCATGTAATGGCAATACATATAGTTAATAATTTACTTAATTAACACAAGTTCACATAATTAACAAAAATAATATAATGGTAATTTACACAAGTACATTCGTTCATAATTTATACAAGTTCACATACACTCTGGAACGGTTCACTCGCAGGAAGGCGACTTTTTCGGGCGTGTATAAACATTGGCCGTTTTTCGTTTTCGCCTTCGTGCGAAAAGGGTGGACATTTGCAGCAATGGGTTCGTGTGTTTATACAAGAACCTTAATCCCAGAGGAAGACGACAACCACAATACGATCATGTTCATTTTATTCATACATATGTATTCATTAAATCATTATTTGGAAAATGTACAAAGTATCATCTAACATGCTAATCATCGTATCATTTTTATACTATATTTCACTTAAAGTTCACTTAAGATGCTATTTCAATTTAAGAACATACGATGCACTGTCTGCATACTCGTACACCGTCATCTGGTTGGAATCCAACTTAATGGTTCCAGGTTGTCACTGGGAGATTGCCCTCTATCCACGTTGAGGTGACATAGTCTGCCAGACTATGACGTCGACACTGAGTCGAGATACTTTACAATAAAAACGCTAGACTCCCATGTGTGGACTAAAAACTTCCAACAACAGAAACAAACATCACTTACGGATTAGTCATGATACTGAGTCAAGACACTTCACAATGAAAACATTTGTCTCATGTTCAAATTCCATTAAAAATAACAACAACAACAAACTAAACACTATTTTACGATGTGAAACACAATATCAAACAAAACTTTTTTAATGTGAGTGATATATATCTTCTTAGCGGAATGTGAATACGGATTAAATGGAATGGTGGCGGTTCGTCGTTGGACCGACTGTGCTTATCCCCCTTTGTTTTCATCCGGGTGATTTTCCCACGAGAACTTGCTTTATGAAACTGTCTTCGTGTTGGAGTATACCCTGAGCCCTTGAATGACTCAAGAACGATAAATGCATTTCTCAGAGAAACATTGTGAGTAAATGGTCGCAAATATTAGTGGTTTCACAGATTATATCTCAGTTACCGTCAGCATCATAATGTTTGATTAGATGGCGCGGAACATCAAATATGGCGTCTGCTTTTGAAAAGATGACAAGATTCTTGTTTATCTTGGAATGAAAAGTGGTTATTGAAAGAGTTAGTTTGTGTGAAGCTGCTAATGCCTATGCTGTGTAACTACTCAGATAGTGGTATCTTATTATGCTGTGGAGCCTGGTGACAGCTGTTGATACGACAATATGCCAAAACACTGACGTAACCTATTTTCGATAGTCTCCTTGTCACGATGTGTTTCGAGAATATGACCAAAGTCGAGGGATGATTAAATTGTTACTTATTTACTTAATCATCTTCGTCCCTGTTGGGACATAAGGCTGCAAGAAACTCTCTCAATTTCAAGGCATTTGTTCCCGTCTTGTGCGAGGGTTTGTGCCTCTCTTACTGATGTTAAAATCTAACTAAAACTATTTTCGTGTTTTGTGCTCAAATTTTTTCCATGAAAAATGAAATTTGGAATGTAAGCAAAATAGAAGTAAAGTGACTTCTACCCGTTTTCCTTGTTACCAAATTTTGAAAATAACGATTTTAATTTAACCCATTTATGCATAGGGTCTTAGATTTTCATCAAATATTGTGAGCTGGTTTCATTTAGCAATTAATGAAAGGAATGAGGTGTCATTTTACCAGTAAATATTTTTTCCATACTTTTTTTACACTGCAATAGTGTGTCCCACTCATCTGCATGTTGTCCCATTTTTGGGACGGTACTTTGGCGGAAATTTGAGTAAGGAAAAAATGCAAACCATTTTCATTTAATTTTTCTATTTGAACAATGAAAGTTTTAAACACATTCTAATGAACTTGCATAGTTAAAATAGGGACCACTAAAAATATCATCTTACCTCACAATTTGCCGAATTGGCAGGGGACCAGCCTTGCCACTGGAAGTGACCATGCTTAAAGAACTTAAACTCTACAAGTAATGTGAATGGTTCAACCACTAAACAATTTACCCAGCTTCATTCACATCTAAACTGCAGGTTTCTATCTTCAACAATGGGAGAGAAAAGTTTTTTGGAGATACCCGTCCCATAAAAGGGACGATGTGCATAAATGGGTTAAGGAATCAAGCCTTGTCAAAACTTCACCCGTCTGCTAAGTAAAATCAACTTGATTGCAGCAATTATACTGGAACTCTCTATTATCGCAGCACGTGAAAACAGTGGAAAAAGCAGAAAAACCACTCCCCGCATCAGCTGTTTACATATGCAAATTACGTAAACAACAAATTGGCTCTTGAAAAAGTCGTTTATTTCATTGAAATGTCATGTCTAATCGTAGAAATATTGAAGTATTCATCTTTTCAGCAAGTTCTAGAACATTTTGAACTAGCATGACCCCTACTGCCATTACATGTAGCATGAATCAAAACTTACTTCGTCAGGAGTAATCCTGCAACAGCTACAAGGTTATTTGCATATTTTCCGTTCTGAAAATATAACAGGAAGTGACGTATAATGCAACTTCACCCTGCACATGGCAGCAAATTGTATGGTACGTTCTAAGGTGGCAAAAAAAATTTTGGTTAAAGTTTCAGATGCTTTGGTTAAAACATGATGATATTACTTATCTGAATGAAATTCCTAAATAATTTTTAATAATAAAACTATTTAGATTCAATACTTTTTTTAGTAAAGGTTTGACAGCATCATTTGCTTGTACCACATGAGATAGTAAGAAAATAGCAATACCGTGATAATAGAAAGTTGCTTAAATTTCCGTGCCAAACGAGGCAATGGGAATTGCTGCGCTCGTATTGAACGAGTTGCGACTATGGGCAACATTATTTGTGATAGAAATGAAGATTAAACATCAGTCAACTGAAAATATATATAAAATGCCAAATGTCAGTAGCCGTTCATAATACCGATGGCGGCAACATTAACTACCACGATAATAGAGGGTCCCATGATAAATCTGGAGACACATACTTTGATGAAAACATTATTGAAACCTTTTGGGACCATTGTTAACTTGTCTTGATCAATAATAATGACAACATTCTTCATTTTAAAGTACATGGTGGATGAGTGTGCTTTAGACATTATGAATAAAATTACATTTGAGCTAAAGCATAGATTTGTAGCTCAGTGCTTCAACAAAACTGATGTGGTCCAAAATACTCTTCCCAATCATCCTTTTAGGATCCTTTGATCTGTGAATCTTTTATGTAGTATTTGTTGTCAACAGTGGCAATGAATAGATCTGTTGTAGTATCTTGTAGTGTTGGGAATTGGTTAAAATCTCATGATTGGTTCATTACAACCGATCATTCATGAAAAATTATTGGTTAGGATAATTTATCAAATTTTCCTGTTTAGTGTTATGTTAGTTAATCCACACAAAAAAAAAGAAGTAAAAACATGTGGTTCTTTGGGTTTTTTTGGGTTTTTTCAAATTACACAAAATACATTTGCAAATTTCACATCGTTTTCCTGAAGTCTTTAAGATAAATTCAGTCATGATTTGGAACAAGCCCGTAGTGCTTATGTAATATAAATTTAGTGACCCCGACAAAACCAACCTTTGGAACAATATTGTTTATGCTAACAATTGTTTCCACATTTTTTGTGTTCAAACATGATCAATTTCTTGGTCCTTTAGTCACTGCGACCAATCTTCGATTATTTTAATTAATCGGAATACCACTATTATCTTGGTAGGCTTTATGTAGGGTACAGCACTATAAATATATAATTGTTAATGATGTATCCATTCCGAATTCATCACTTTCAGTACTGATATTTGTAGGAGTTTACTCATTACATACATTTGCAACCAGTAGGTATAAATCTATAGGTTTGACCCTGAAATGTAAATTTGTTTTAAAAATTCCCAGTGTTTTCTTAACAAGTACATGTAAAATTTAACATATTTTTCCTTATCCTGACTCATGCTTAATTGCTCCTCTTGCGAACTATAGTGGAACACTTGAATCCCCTTTTGAAGCTCCCTTAAAAAAAGCGGACGTAAAATCACTCACCCACGAGTAGCCTCCCTTTGATATTTGGCGCCAAAACCGTCACATGATCAGACATGCTCTTCACCCTTTCCTTTTTCGCCCTAGAGGACGGTTGTGAGAGGGCCTGGGTCCCCTATACGGCATTATATCCTTTTATTTTAGGCTTTGACTACTAAATTAGCTGTATACGGTCTTTAGCAAGCATATACCAGCAATATGGTTTGAAATTTGTACCAAATTTTCCGTTTATTAACATTGTTGACATGATGTTTCATCTTGTTTGCATTTGATGAAAACTTGCATTCGTTGCAGGTTTTGTTTGTCGGCTGCTGATCCGCATTCATTATGTCCTAACTGCACTTCTACATGTTCTTCCAGCCTCCGCTGTAAACTTTGTCAGCATATATCTGAAATTGAATTTACTAATTAATTATATTCCATTCTTAGACGTGCCAAGGACAGGTCGAGACGACTTTTACAAGTCATGTCTAAACAGAGTGAATGTGTTGATAACCGTGTATTATTGTCTGCTGAGATTCACCATTCCAGTGATTTGCCGGTGGCTACTACGGAGCTGTTGACTGTGGCAGATGGCAGCTCTGGGTCCAGGAAGAGATCGTCATCGTCTCAGCCTGCAGATCGCATCCGAGTGAAGATGGCAGCCTGCTTGAAGAACGGAATGTTCGTGAAGGATCACTTACTCGACAGTCATCCACGACAACTTCCAGAGAACCTGTCATTAGTGTCAACCTGGACAACGATGAGCCTGCAGTAGAAGAGGAGCATTCGCGAAGGAGAACCAGACGTTCACCGGAGCATCGCAGATCAGCCTCGACCTCAGACTCGGACAATCATCGCGGACCTGCGCGAACGTACTTCACATCCCACGGAAGAGAATCTTTACCTTCATGAAGGCGCAGGAATACGTCTCAAGACTCCAGGGAGGATCTTTATACCGATCGATCACCTTCGCGCAGGTCTTCAGGAAGATCTTCACGTTCATCGCCACGCAGATCTTCACGCACATTCAGGTCGCCATGCAGGTCTCCACACGCATCTCCACGAAGGCATTCGCGAATGTCTCCACGTAGATCACCACGTAGATCTCCACTCAGGGAGCAAGCACAATGGCAACGGTCTTCAGAACAAGATGCATCCAAATCAGAAGATGATGGTGGAATCATATTCTCCGATACAGAGATCAAGTCTTGGATGGCTAATGGATTGGAGCTTGCATCACCTTCTAAAGAGGATAATGAAGCATTCACGTACATGCTGTCAAATGATGAATTTGATACGCTCACCCTTCCACCCATAGATCCTGTGTTGAATGTACCAGAGAACCTCAGTACAGCCATCAGAAAGACAACAAAGTTCCAGAGTCAAAGTATACCACCGTTCAATGCCAAGAAGTTCTCTCTACACCATATGGAACCCTTCATGAAGGCCCCAGAGATAGACGAGAACTACAAAATCATCAAAGACGCCCGTACCAGGACTTATAAAGTGGACGATATGAAGCTAGCACAACTAGACACAACTACCAGGCGTACCTTCTTTGGTCTAGCCAGATCAAGAGCCATCAATGAAACCCTCAGTACGAAGTTTAGGAACTCCACCTCGGAAGAAGATCGTATGATCTACTTGGCATTGCTGACCAAGAAGAAAGACCAGCAGTTTATATCAGAGCATCTGGCATCTACATCAGCAGGGTTGACGCTACTGAGAAGACATGGGCTACTATCTTCCTGTAATTGGAGTGAGAAGTTCACCAAGACTTTGTACAGAGTTCCATGGTCAGCATCAGCTATCTTCGCAGGGGAAATTGAAGACATGGCCAAAGAAGTTACGAAGGAGTCTAAGGAGGTCATGATGATCAAGTCCATCGATACACTGGCCAGTGTTATCCGACAGACATCTCAACGCTACTCTGCCAAATCAAAGTTTGCGGGGATACATAGAGCTAAAGAGAAGAAATACGGCACTTCCAGAGGAGGCAAAGATTCTTTTCATCCCCCAACCGGAGCTCCCAGAGGTAACCCCGGAAGAGGCAGATGATTCAGAGGTGCCAGGAATGCTAGACGTTGATGGACGGGTTCGGAACGACTGGAGTCTTCCACCCCCAGCCATTCCCATACAACTTTCTACAGTGGGTGGACGTCTACAACGCTACTGGGAGAATTGGGGAATTCTTCAGGACAACTACGTATCCCAGATACTACGCAGAGGATACAAGAAACAACTACAAGCAGTTTCACCTTTGACAAGCACTCCTCGGACACACAACTATGCTACCAACCAGAGGGGGAAACTACTCGACGCCATCACAACTCTACTCGAGAAGGAGGCAGTCGAAGAAATAAAACAGGAACTCATCACGCCTGGTTTTTACTCCCCAATCTTCCAGGTACCAAAGAAAAATTCCAAGGAAAAGTTCCGACTACTCTACAACATGAGGAAATTCAACCAGGATTATCTACGCAGACCCGCAAAGTTCAGGATGATACACCTTCCTCAACTACGACAAGTCATCCGTCCGTCCGTTAGACTACCTCGCCAGCATAGATCTGCAGGATGCGTATCTTCACATCCCAATACACCCGGACTCAAGGAGATATCTTCGATTCATCTTCAACGGATGCCATTACCAATGGAAGGTGCTACCTTTTGGAATATCGTCAGCCCCCTGGTTGTATACTCGAGTGACATAGCCCGTCATCACATACCTACATCATCGAGGTGTACACAGTGCATTTTACCTGGACGAAGGGATTCAAGCTCATCAAGATCCCAGTCAACTCAGACTGCAACTGACTTCACCATCAGGCTACTCACTCAACTAGGATGGCTAGTAAATCTCCTCAAATTGGAACTAGAACCTACACAGGATCTTCAATTCCTAGGAATACGACTCATCACATCAGCGAATCGCATAGTCGTTCCAGAGGAACGTTGGGTCAAGATACAACAGATGATATCTCAAGCACTACTCTCTCCGTTACCACTACGAAGTTGGCAGTCACTCATGTCTACGCAGATGCATCTCTTCAGGGATGGAGAGCTCACCTTGACAACAACGAAGTGGCAGCGGGAAAATGGTCGAGTCAGGAACAAAGTCTGCACATCAACATGCTTGAAATGAAAGCAGTAATAAACGCCTTACTACACTGGTCCAGCATACTAAGGAACGCACAGCTGATGATACATACGGACAACTCCACAGTGGTATTCTACATCAACAGACAAGGATCAACAAGGTCGAGGAATCTGCTAGACCTCAGCTTTCACCTATTCAGCATAATAGACAACCTGAACATCGACATAAAAGCCCACATTCCCGGAGCCAAAAATGTGACTGAGTGGATGTTACAGCCAGAGACGTCAGATGCATCATTCAGATGATAGGATCTCCACTGATAGACCTGTTTGCGACAAAGTTCAACAAACAACTACCAACATTCGTCTCTCCGATTCCAGATCCACAAGCATGGGCAACAGATGCTTTAAGCATATCTTGGGAAGGATTAAATGCTTACGCTTTCCCTCCTCCAGTTCTAATACCGAAGGTGTTGCAGAAAATCAAGCAGACAAAGAAGCTGCAACTGATTTTGGTCGCGCCCTACTGCTCAGCGAGAGTGTGGTTTCCCATTCTCATACAAGAACTCGGAAATCCAACCCTGCAACTCCCAGAGTGACCAAATCTACTAGTTCATCCGCACACCAAGCAAGTACACGGAAATCCAACAGTATTCCAACTACACGCATGGAACGTATCACGATTTGCTTGAAGAAAAGAGGATATTCCGCCAGAGCAGCAAAATCAGTCACATTAGCTCTACGTAGATGAACCCGCAACTTGTACGACGACAAGTTGCAGAGTTTTGAGAAATATGCATTGAGGAAGGGTTTCACGGCGATGAAAGCAACACATCCTCAAGTGGCGAAATACCTTTGTCATCTAAGGCAAACAAGGCGGCTAAAAGGATCAACACTCTCTACATACCTAGTGGCCCTCAGCACAGTTATCACCATGAAGACGGGTGTGAAGCTGACCAAAGTACCAGAGATACTGGCATTACCATGCTCCTTTAAGTTGGAAAACCAACAAAAGAAGTTTAAGGCGCCTGCTTGGGATCTCAACGTGGTCTTGCAGCATCTCACCAGTGACGCTTATGAACCACTATAGTCCGTTTGGCTCAAAAGCGGACCGATGAATTGCAATCTAACTCGAAAACTAATAAACATAAAATACTCAATGAAACACTGATCATAATGAAAATGTCACACCAACTCTGAGAGGTGTCCCTTTCTCTGCACTCCTCCCTCGTATTAAATAGTGAACTGTGTCAATATTTTAGTGATAGTTTGTTTAACAACTTTTTTAATTTTAGGACATAAATTCTGCAAACAAATCACAGAGTTGGTCTGATGTTTTGATTATGATCAGCGTTTCATTGAGAATTATATGTTTATTAGTTTTTGAGTTAGATTGCAATTCATCGGTCCGCTTTTGAGCCAAACGCACTATAGCAAGGACATCCTATGGACTTTGAATGAACACGATTTGACGCACATCGTGACACTGTACATCTGGGATTGAGATAGGACTTCATAGCAAAGAACCAACTGCCCGGTCAACCAGACAGACAGTTCCATATCCCAGCAATCTTGTCAATCCTAGGGCCACAGGATACTCAAGATTTATCCCTATGTCCAGTCAGAGCATTGAAAGTCTACCTACAAAGGTCGAAAATGAGGAGACGAAAATTCAAGCGCCTTTTCATCCCTCTATCTACGGAGACGCCTACAGAGGTCTCACGTACAACAATATCAATATGGATGAGAGCCGTCATATTGAGAGCCTACAAAGCAGCAGGACTTGAGCCTCCACGAGCCTCCAATCCTCATGAAGTCAGAGCACTGCCATAGACACTCGCTCTGCATGGGAACTGCTCCATCTCGACAATAATGGAGTGCTGCTTTTGGAAGTCGGAGACAGTGTTTGCCAACCACTACCTCAGAGACATGGCTACCTAGGACGTCTCCGGCATTCACCAGTTTGGTCCTCTTGTTGTAGCACAACAATTGAGGTTCCTCAAAGACGCTGGGATGAATCTCACCCTATTTATCACATGACTTGTAAAGCCAACACTTGGAAGAGTTAGAGCTTTAGAGTCCATGCGCACGTCTAGGACAGGCTAGCATGAGTGACAGACCCTGTACTTGTATTGTTAGGACTTACTTGTACATGAAGAAGGATCGCTTCTCCACTTGATGCGAGCATCAAGATATGGAGTTGCATAAATCCACACATAATGTCAGGAGAAGACGATTCCAGAGAAATCTTACAAGTTGTGGTACCCCCAGACTCATCAGAGGAAGCTGGAAGAAAGGACACAGTGCCATTAGAAGTTCCCTAGGGGGCATAAGGACGTAAATCAGCAGCTATGAATCCAGAGTGGCTTGACCCACCACCGGTTCCATCGGATTCTACAAGCAATTAAGCATGAGTCAGGATAAGGAAAAATATGTAATTTTCTGATTAAAATTGATAATTTATACTTATCCTGACTCATGAGGTCAGCCCTCCCAACCTCCCCTCATGGCACTCTGGATTTCCCTGTAGATCCGGGTGTCGGGCTCATATTCGGAGAGAGTGAATAGCATGTCTGATCATGTGACGGCTTTGGCGCCAAATATCAAAGGGAGGCTACTCGTGGGGTGAGTGATTTTACGTCCGCTTTTTTGAAGGGAGCTTCAAAAGGGGATTCAAGTGTTCCACTATAGTTCGCAGGAGGAAGGAGACAAGCAATTAAGCATGAGTCAGGATAAGTATAAAATATCAATTTTAGTCAGAAAATTACATGTTGTTAACATGTACAAATATTACTAGAGAACAGATCAAAATCTAAGTCAAGGGTTAACCATAAAGTTGAAAGTTTGAGGTCTGTGATGTCTTTTCAGAGGCCCAGATAAGCTGCATATCTGGGTAAAACGCATAGAATGACGCATTGAAAAATAATTGTTGTGTACCAGTTACGCATATAAAATGTTAGATACACAAAAAGTTTAAAACAAATGCGTGACGGAATATATTCATAAAAATCGCTTTCGTAATGAAAAAGACATCAATTGCTATCAAGTTGTACTGTTAGTATAGGACAAGTGTTGTAATGTCAGTATAGGATGAGTGATTTTTTATGAAATAATTTCCATTATATTTAAGTTGGTTTTGATTAGGTATGACATAAGGCAGAACATACCTGCTTAGTAAACTTACTCAATGACGTAATACTTAGGTGAGTAAAGTGACTGAAATACGCACATATTTGAAAGCAGTGGGTAACGGAAAATGAAATACCCACTCAACATTCATAATACCCACTCCAAAAAAATGCAGTGGGTACAGTACCCACATGAGCTAAATCTTATCTGGAGCTCTGTCTTTTCATTCAAATACTGTGGGAGAAAGCCTCATGAAACGAAGTATCTCTGTTAATTCCAATCAATGTACTGTAAGGCCATATATTTAAATCTCATTTGTGGTTTGTGGTAAAGCAGGACCTTCTGATCAGGAATCACAACATGCTTTTGAGCTTATTTTGGTTATGTTCTTTTTGCAGAACATATAAGTACAGCCAGGAGTAAGGGTCTCACTCAGTGACCAGCCATGGCATCAGGTGGATTTTATGGCAGAGGCGGAAGGGGAAGGTCGATTCTAGATGCTTTGAAGCAGCCTGCAAGGAAACCAGGGCAACAAGAGGAGCAAGCCCAAGCACAGGTTTGGCCACTCATCAAATGTTCTTCGTCTATCTTGTGTCCTGGATGAAGGCTGTATGATTCATGTATATTTTCATAATAATGCACGTTGTGAGATTCAATTTTACAAGTGTCAAGTTTTCAATCTGTTTGAGTATATTCCATAATATTTTTCATTGTTTCTATGCAAGAAATAACCACTTGTTTTTAATTATGAAGGTTTTCCTTATAGGCTGCTGCCCCAATTACCCCCCAGAGTAGTGATGCAACACCAAAACCACCTGCTGCTCCCATTACGTTTGGAAGAGGGGGAGGACTGCTAGCCATGATGCAGAAAGCCCAGCCTAGTTCTCAGCCAGGTGCTTTAGCCGAAACAACAGGTAACTAGTATGTTAATCAATCATTTCTTGTTCAGTATTTTCAAAAAGACATCCTATCAAAGATAAGTGTTATAACTAAGATTGGTCAGTTTGTTGAATTTCATTAAAATTATCAGGCATTCACAAAGTAATAGTGTGTAAGTTATATTTGTAAATGCTTTCAGCTCCTAAACCTGCACCAGCTATGCCATTTACCATGCCAATAGGAAGGGGTCTTGGTGGCATGAAAGAACTGCTTCAAAAGTAAGTGTCCACATTTTTGTCATAGGGATGTGCCTGGTTAATGGTTGTTTTTATCATCCAGTTTATACTGAAATCTCCTGACAGGTTAATCTGTGTTGCTATCACTGGTGGTTGACTTGTTCTATCAATGCTAATTGTTTATATTAGATTTAGCATTTTGTCAGCCCTATGTGAAGATAGACCTGACAGTTTGGTAATGCTGTCCATCATAGATACTATCTTATACCCAGAACTCAGTAATGTGCAAAATTGATACATCAGACATTATCTTACCGTCATGTAAAATACTTAAATTTCATTGGTCAATGACGCTTTAACAAGTTTCTGTGTCACCCCTCCCAGGAGGGTGACAACTGGAAAAGACATTACCTGCTGCCACGGTAACCACCAAATTCTCTGCTAAGAAGCTGTATCGCTAACAATCGTATGACGTCATAACAGGATGTATGCAGTGCATGGAGTTCGAAAACCATTAGATTAGCTGTCTTTGAGTTCACTATGTACACAAATATTTTACCGACTTTCATTGCTTTATTTACACTATACTCATGGAAACGAATAAGGGACCACATGAAAGTACAAGTGTTCCTTTATTCCTTGCCAGGTTTCTTCACAAGGTACGTATTACACTGTGAGTGAAATTCTGGAAATATATGAAGGAACACTTATACTTTGATGTGTTCCCTTATTCGTTTTTATGAGTATATTTTATACATTGCCTCGTCAGAATATGTTTAACTGATTTTGAAAATTCGAGCGGCAGACGCCATATTGTTTACATGTCATATAGTCGGTAGCTAGCTTATCGATCTTCAAAATTAAATAAAATGATATTTTGTACATTTAACATGGCGGTAAGATAAATACCTTGTAAATACCGGCTCGGATAACACTGATACAAAGAGGCGTACATCAGACTGTATTACCCTCAAGAGAAGCATACAACATATAGTGAAATGTGACCCACCTAGTGATTAGGTATGAATCAAATCATACCTAGGCTACATACCGGCAAGCCAAATTTGGTATTTCTGAAAATTCTTTCCTTGTAAAATGGATGTAAGAACAGCAATAGATTGCTCAAATGAAGTTGTTGATAGTATCCTTATTAATATGTTGATCACACCAAATTGGTATTGAAGACAAAGCTCTGCTGTTAATCAAGTGAGTGCTTTTCAGGGCAGCACAGGGCAGAGGAATGCCTGCACCTTCCCAGGTTTCCAGTCGTCCATCTACATCAGGTTCCTCTACTTCTGCACAACCACCTGCTGAGCCAGTTCCCTCCTCATCCAGAGCACCTCCACATCCTTCTGCTGCTGGTGCTGCTCCTTCCCCTGCCCCACCATCAGAGGAGATGAGTAGACTGGCAATATATGAGAGGAGGGAGGCTGTCCATCGTTCAGGATCAGAAGGAAAAGTGTCAGTTTCATTCACAAGTATTGCAGTTCAACTTAGAGGATAATTTGCATTTTTTTCTAAGATTAACATTTAAATTCATTCCTACCCTACAACAACCCAATATACATTACTAATTTCTTTATCTATTCAGTTACATCCTTTACCAGTAGAATTCTGACTGCAATTTGACCTCTTCAGAACCTCGCAAGAAATATTGTGAAACAGTAGTTTCTGAAAATTGATGATATGGAATCAACATTAACTCTATGTGTTTGGGGTTTTTTTCCGATTTTTATCGCATACCTCCTTGTTATGATGTATTGTATATATACTTACAAATATGTTAACTGAAATTGAGTGTTGTGTCACTTTTACATGTTTGAGGTTTAATTGTATTTCTGCAGAATGCCGTTCTCTGCCAACCATATCCGTGTCAAGTGCAAGAACAGTGGAGTTTTTCAGTATGATGTGAAGTTTGATCCAGTCATAGACAGTAAAGGCATGAGGATTGGCATGCTGAATGAACATAAGGCTGTTATTGGTCAGACAAAAGCCTTTGATGGAAGACTCCTCTTTTTTGCCAATCAGACTGCCTCAAACTGTAAGTTGAATAATAAAAACATGTTTGTGGCACAATGTTTAAGAAATACCATGTATAGTGTAATAAAGCACACTTTCGCCCTGAACTATTATAGTTAAAGCACGAGGACGCTTTCATCTGAGTGCTTTAATATTATGATAGTTCAGGGCAAAAGTGTGCTTTATTACACTATACATGGTGGTAGAGCGAACTGTATTTCTTTTCTAAGATGTAAAATTTACTACTTTCTAAGGATAATTACGATTAATCTAAGGCAGAAAACAAACAACGGTGTCGGTGATCTAAGTTAAGAATCCTCGCAAAGGCTAACTGACGCGCGCTGTTCTATTGATGTGTCTGGCCCCCTACGTTAAGACGAACGTTACCAGAAAAAACAAATGATAAACAGTTTGATGACGGTTTACGTTCGGATTAAATATCGTCTCTAAATTATTTTAATTACATCTGTGATTAACGTAAACCATATGGGGCAATATGAATGTCACATTTCTACTACCAACGTAAGTTTAGATCAGTACATCCAGATGAAGCTGAGTAGTCAAGCAACATTCCACGATTGCCTTGTGGGAATGTAAACATTGCAAACGTTACCGTGTGGCTGAAAACTTGTGAGTCGACTTGAGACATTTTAACTGTCGGAAAACATAAACGTAATGTTTCCACCAGGGATGTTAGCTGCAATGTAATTGTGATGTAATGCAAAAAGTGCACATTATCATCTGATAAAGTATTGTCATCGCCTTTGATCTTTCACCGAAGCATCTCAGAAATATTGATAACACAGCAGTTTTTTCCCATACACATTTAGAAATAAAGTGGTGGATTGCTTATCAGCACAGACATTATCATCAAAAATAACAGAGTAGAGGGAACATTGTCAGGTCATTTTCAAGGTTTTAATCTAATATATCTAAATTCTAATGCATTCTTTTACATCATGACCAAATATGAAATAAACTATCAAAAAATTTCTCCCTCCCTCCCAAGTGCCTTCTTTAGAAATAAGATTTTATCTATCTCAGTATGGTATAGTACTTGTCTTTTTGACAAAACTATATGTAATTGTGTTTTGTGTCTGTACTTTTATTGTTGTGAATGCCATTTGTTTGTCAGGTGATAGAAATGATGCAGTGGTCATGTCATGTATCTTCATGTGCATTTTGCTTCAGGAAACTGTTTTGCACAGTCAAAGGAAGACCGATGGTATTAATGTCACAATAACCATCAGGTTAACAACAGTTGTGGATCCTACTCAGTGTGCTCATCTCTACAATATTGTCTTCAGAAGGTCAGTTTCAGGGAAAAGTGATGAAAATCTACAAGGGATTAAACCATTTACTTATTTCTCTGAAATATAGACCTGTGATGGCAATAAGAAATGCAGTCCAGAAATGCCACCATTTGGACAATAATTGTTCGGAATGACTTCAGTATAGTTACAGAGACACATTGCTTTGAACTCCCTCATTTAATTTTCTTAATAGTTTGCTGCTTCAGACGTTTATAATTTTGTACAAAAAAGGTTAATAGTTTAGTACTAATAGTGTTTTGCTGTAAAACATGTGAAATGATGAAACCGTTGATGTTTCAGGATCATGAGCATCTTGGATATGTGTCAAGTCGGCAGATACTATTACAATCCCCACACACCATCTCAAGTACCACAACACAAGTGAGTATATGTTTCCCATTATTAGGGTTTTAGTACTTTCAGGGGTGGAAATAACCCATTGCCCGACGTCCGAGTCCAGTGTTTTTTCCTGTCGGGCAAGCACATTTGTATATCACGCTGTACCGGTGTCCAGTTGACATTCCAATGTTAGTTATATTGTTTATTTAAAAATCACCAAGAAAATCGGCCGGTATAGCGGAAAAATTATCAGGGCAAGTGATTTTACATGTGCCACTGTACCGGAGTACACTAGCAATTTTAAAGTTATTTCCACCCCTGACTTTATGGGAACCTTTAAAACTTATTCTGACAGTAGTGATAATGTAATAGATTCCTGAGTACAAGCTATTGATTGTTCTTCTTCTTTGTGTTACACAGACTTGAGGTGTGGCCAGGATATATTAGTTCAATCAAGGAACAAGAAGGAGGGCTGTTGCTCAACCTAGATGCCTCTCACAGAGTACTGCGTACAGAAACAGTGCTAGATGTCATGTAAGTATAGGGATCATTATCGTTTGTATATGAACAGCTGCTTTTCCTTAGGTTTACATTGCATCATGTCACATGAGTACAATGTGCATCTGATTTGTCTCGTTTTTTCATGTAGGTCAATATAGGTAATCTGCTCGAGTTATGCAGTGGTTTGAAAGTACCGGTAAGGATATAATTTGTCCATATCTGAATACTAGGCTGCTGATATTCTTACAAGCAAGGGGCGGTGGGGTAGCCTAATGGTTAAAGCGTTGGTTCGTCACACCGAAGACCCGGGTTCGAATCCCCACATGGGTACAATGTGTGAAGCCCATTTCTGGTGTCCCCAGCCGTGATGTTGCTGGAATATTGCTAAAAACGGCGTAAAACCAAACTCAGTCAGTCAGTCTTACAAGCAAGATACAATGATGCTTGGATATCATTTAAAATAGCTAGAAACTAACATTTCTGGTGTTCCCTGCTTGTGATATTGCTGCAATATTGCTAAAAGTGGCATGAAACCATACTCACTCACTCACTCATAGTTAGGATTGAATACTGTGATTAAGGAGGTCTAAACGGATCACAAATTTCAGTCTGGATGGTTCTGTGCAGACTAAAAGAGCAACGAAAATGTGGAATGTGTACAAACTGGAATAAGTATTTTGTTTTCACCATGTACAGTGAATAATATTCAGAAAGTAGGATTTCTGAATACCCTGAATAAATAGAATGTCAGTGTATCTTATCATTTTGTTTGCTGTTTGCAGGAAGAATTATAACATCAGTATTCGTGATGCTGAGCAGCCTCTCCTCATCAACCGTCCAAGGAAAAAGCGTGAACCAGGGGTATGGTTTCATTCTCTCCATATCCTGCACATATATAGCAGAGCTTTGTCCTGTATGTGATGTATCATTTCACATCCTGCATTTTTTTGTTGTTGTTGTTGTTGATAAAGTGGATTTTGTTTGTCTACAGGAGAGGGAACCTAAAATTGAGATGATCTGCCTGGTTCCTGAACTGTGTTACATGACAGGTCTAACAGATGAGATGAGATCTGATTTCAGGCTGATGAAGGTGATTATTAGGAAATATATTAATTAGAATTAATATCAGTGTTACACTTGCATTACTTGGCTGGTTTACTAGACGAAATTTACTTTAGACTGTTGGATGTGTCAGTGTTTCTGTGCTCCAGTATATGCTGGATATTGACCCATGATATCTTACTGGGATGTAGGGTTGATGGTCCCGATATCCAGTTGAAATTTCCTTTGAAATATGTTTATCATATCACACATCGTTATTATAGTACTTGTAATTCTTCTTCATAGAGATCGTCCTTGGGGTACATATTATGCATTTTCCAAGCTGAAAATGTCCTGTGACAGTTGTATCAATGTTTTTTGAATAAAAAGATTGTACAATAAATAAACTCTTTTATTTATTATACGGCCCCCACCTCACGGAGTTACCTCCCGTTGCGCATGCGCACCAACTGGGTAAGCACCTAGGCCCGTATCATCATTCCTTCTGCTGTCACTGCCCCTAACAGACGCATGTGTCGAGCAGAGCTGACCTTTTCAGAACGAAAAAGAATAATGTCTGGAACACCACCTGTATGTATGGTCTTTATTACCTTTGCAAAAGGAACAGTAAAGCTTTGCAGTCGGTTGTTTCATAATTGTGACTTTGTATTAATTATTTTACGCTAACTTTCCCGTGGTTTACGCACATGTTGCTCTGCCATGGCGGGAAGTTTAGCGTGCCACGTGGTTGTAATATTGCGTATTGAACCAACTATTTCTTCCCGTGGTAGCCTTCACGTATTTTTCAATGTTTTCTACGTGTATATATGCTGCTGGTCCACCGTTAGCTTCATGCTTGCGTGTTTGCTTTCAGGCGTTTTCCTCCTGTTCGGTCTGTGGACAAAGTATTCCACGGGCCGACAGGCACGACAAATGTATTGTCTGCCTAGAGAAGACCGGCCATGAGTCCCAAACCTGTGAAATTTGTATGGGGTTTTCCGGGCTCAGAAGCGAGGGCTGCCGATACTCTCTTTATAGAGAGATGCGGGAGGCGGAGGGGAACTTACCCAGGTCCCCCGTCCCGCTAAAAAGTCTAAAGGGAAAAATCCCGTAGCCAGTCCCCTGCTCCCGCCTGCATGGTAGCGTTTTGACATGACTTTAATCACACAGGTGTTTCAGCAGCACGCAGACTCGATGAGGTCCCTCGTTCATGAGTCGGTTGGAGGACTCGAGCAGGAGTTCCTCGCCCACTCTGAGCGTGGGCGGAGAGTCTTGAGGGGATCGCCGAACCCGCTCGATCCCTAGGCCCTTGAGGCGCCTGTCGACCCGCTGCCTCTGGCTTCAGGTCCGGACGCCGCTGCCCCGGGAGAGGGAGGTGCTCCCAGTCCCCTCAGAGTTGGCACAGGGACCGCTGATGATTCCTGGGGTTCCGATCCCGCGCCTCCCCCTGCCCCATGAGAGCGGAGGCACCAGTTCTGCCTGGTATGCCTCCAGCGCCTCGGGACCGGGTCCGCACGCCTGCAGGCACTGGACGCTGGCACTCTGTCTGCTCCTCCCTCTCTGTTGTTCCTAGTGCTAGGCCGCCCACCGGTCGGGTTCGGGTCCTCTTCACGGAGACTCAGCCTCGACTCTCCGCTCGCGCCGAGTCGATGGATACTGGGGAGGTCGAGGAGCAGGAGGGTGCCTTCCGCTTCTCTTCGCTCTGCGGGAGGTCAGGCAAAGAATTGCCGAAAGTACCTACCCCAGGTCAGCTGTGCCTGTTAGCAGCTCGGACTCGGCTGAGTTCCGCTTTGCCAGGCGAGGCGCTTTGCCCCTAGGCAGCCTATACGCAGACGCAGCTCCGCATTCTTCCATCGCTAGTACAGGACGGGTGGATCCCCCTTGTCTGGTTCTCGCCTCCGATTTGACTTGCTGGAGCTTGTCCGGAGATACCAGCTTGGGAGGATTCCCTGTTCGTGGTACCTATCGTGGGACGAGTGTGTTTTCACTTCAGTCGCCTTTGGGGAGGCTCGCTTCCTCCGAGCAGCTCCGCTGCTCGGCAAGGGCGCAGCACTCCACCGCTTGCCCTCGCTGGCTTCCCGCACCATGCATACCACTCTACAGGAGGTTTACAGGAACGCTATGCAGCAGGTCAGGGTGGTGGTCCATGAGGCCTACCTCTCCCTCGATACAGAGGTCGGCCCTGGAGGCGGGGGGCATGCTGGTGACGCTTTCACCGCATGTCGCGGCTGCTCGGCCAGCTATCTGAAGTACAGGCCCACCACGCGCTGACTCTTTGGCGGTCCGCTAAGGCCGACGGTGATGTGCGCAGTCATGGGGATGCGCAAGCTGTGGCTGTCGACGCCTCGCTACTCGCAGCAGCGACACAGCAGACCTTGCTGGCCCTCCCTTCTGTCTGGGGAGCCACCCTCTTCCAGGGGCACAGCAGGTCATACGGGAGGCTGCCGCTGCAGCTACCTCCTTCAAGGACTCTAAGGCCTTTGTTGGAGCACCCGCTGGTGTCTCGCCAAGCGCCCCGCTCCACCTTCCTCCGCTGGGGTGCAGCCTACACCCGAGTCCGCTGGCTGGCTTCGGCCGCTTGGCAGGGGTAAGCGGAGGCACAGGTCCGCCAAGGGTAAGGGCAAGGAGCAGTCCTCGACTAGCTCCCAGCCTTTTCGCGGGCGCGGGAGGTCTGCCCCGACCTCCCGTTAACCCATCAGGCTGTCGTTCAAGCCGTGTGTCACGCCCAGTCAGCTCCGCTACTCGGGACGACGCGCACGCTCTCTTAACCTCAAGAAATCCGACCTGGTACCCACCCAGGACTTGGTTTTTCTTGGGGCGCGATTCCAAACAAACAAGGATCTCGTTTCCTTGTCGCCCGACCGGATCACCAGAGTTCGGGAGGTGGTATCTTCGTTCCTCTCCCAGCCCCAGGCACCAGCACGGACTTGGCTCCGTCTACTGGGCCATATGGCGGCGACGATCTCTGTAGTGTGGCGGGCGCGGTTGAGGATGCGCCCTATACAGCAAGCTTTGGCAAGGCTGTGGGCTCACACGGAGGAGCTGGAGCGCAGTCTCACAGTCCCCGGGTGGTTGAAACCTCACCTTCAGTGGTGGACCAATGTCGGGAATCTCACCAGGGGGATCCCCTTGGAAATCCCGACGCCAGCTCTCACAGTTCAGACCGATGCGTCCCTCACGGGCTGGGGTGTTCTGGGCAGTCTGTCGGTGTCCGGACTCTGGTCCGAGGTCGGCTTCACCTTCACATCAACGTGTTGGAAGTGAGAGCTGTGCGGTTGGTTTTCGAAGCCAGAGAGCATGTCCGTGGCCAGGTAGTCCGCCTTCAGTTGGACAACCAGACGCCATGTCGCATATCCTGAAGCAGGGCGCACGGTGTCCCGAGCGCTTCTTCAGGAGGCGTGGACTTTCTACTCTGGTGCTTACCAGTGCGATTGTCAGGTACTCCCTGTTTATCTCCTGGGGCTGGAACGGAGAAGACGCCGACGCTCTCGCCAGATCCTGGCCCCGCACGAAAGTGGATGCTCGACAGGCAGATATTCAGAGTTCTCTCCCAGTTGTAATGGTCGCTCCAGGTGGATCTGTTTGCGCCCGGGCGGGACGAATCAGACACCCGTGTTCTGCTCTCAATACCGACCCAGGGGCGCTGGCTGCCAACGCCTTCCTGCTGGATTGGACGGGCAAAGTGCTCTGGCGCTCCCCGCCGCTACCACTCATTCCCCGCGGTCCTTTCACAGCTGTCCACCCAGCCAGCTCGGCTGCTTGTGCTACTGGCACCGCTTTGGCCGCCACAGAGCTGGTTTCCGGTAATTCTCAGGTTTCTGGCTCAGCCTCCTGTTCTATTACCTTTACGAATCGGACATTCTCACTCAGAACGGAGCTTCCACCCAAATCCACGGATTCAGTGGGTGGCTTGGCCTCTGTCAGGTCTAGCCTCTCGAGGCACGCTGGAATTCCTGCAGCAGTTGCAGACACAATTCTGGCTTTGAGGCGGGATTCGACAAACGCTCAGTATGAGGATAGGTGGTCCTGCTATGCGCCGCTGGTGTTCAGATAGGGGATTGCAGATCCCTTTTCTGGGCGGATTTAGTCCGGTATTGGAGTTTTTGCAAGCTCCGCTTTGGAAGAAGGCCTGGCTGCTTCGACCATTCGCGGCTACTCCACCGCTATTTCCACTTTTCACACCCCTGTCGATGGTGCTCTTCTGGGGCAGCACCCTCGCATAGCGCTTTCGCTGGCTGAACGGGTTCGACCTGCTCTCAGGCTGTACCAGTCCACCTTTGGGATTTGTCAATTGTGCTAGATTGGCTGTCCGTCCAACTTTCTCACACCTATCGGCTATTTCCATTCAGTTGTTAACTTGGAAGGCTGTTTTTCTGGTGGCGGTAACATCTGGACGAGGGTCGGCGATTTACATGCTATGTCGTCCGACCTCGGCGCTGACTGTGTTTCACACTGATCGTGTCAGTATTCGGCCTCCGGATACTTTACGCGAAGGTCGATCCACGCTTCCATGTGACAGCTCCTATCGAACTTCCCACTCTTACCCAGCCTTCCACATCGGGGACCTCTCCCAACGCAGCACTCACCCGCTGGATGCCCATAAGACACTCAAAGTCTATATCAAACTTAACGCAGGGAACTGCACGGGTACCCAGCTGTTCTGTTGTTACGGTGGCGGGAGAGGTTGGTGTGCCAGCGAGCAAACAGACTTTGTCTCGCTGGATTGTTTCGTATTTGTGCCGCTTTATCGGGCTAAGGGCAAGCCTCCCCTTGAGGGGTTGAAGGCTCACTCGGTCAGGACAGTAGCCATCAAAAGCTTTTGCATCGGGCACTCCCATTGAAGAGATCTGCTCTGCCGCTATTTGGAGCCGCCAAGCACGCTTATTTGGCACTATCAGCTCGACACACATCTCGTAATCGCGGCGAAGCTTTGGCCATTCTGTTCTCTCCAGTGGACAGTGTCCTGCCACCCTGACCAAGTGAGTCTTGGTTCATTGGTTTTGTTTGACGCTACTGTACAATACTGTGTGTTATTGACATGTCTGCTACTGGGAGCTAACTACCCACATTTCGCCTCTCTCACGGAGTAATAGGTCGACAGAGCGGTTTTTGACATTCCCCTACGGTGCTCACTAATCCACACGCAGTGGTGGGGCTTTGTTGACATTCGCACTCATGTGCGCATTGCCTATGCTAACATATGGAGGTCGCCTTTGAGCACAAATCCTCCCTGTCAGTTCCCTCCCATAATGCCTCTCAAGGAAGCTTAAACTGGGACATGTGACAGGTGAGTGTTATGGCTGCCTGTTCAATTTTTCCCATTTACGATAGCTATTTGTGTGTGCTTGACAGAATTCCTCCTCCCTGGCCTCCGGGTCTTTGGGAGTCTGTGTTTATGCATAATATGTACCCCAAGGACGATCTCTATGAAGAAGAATTAACCAAACCTGAAGAGGTTTAAATTCTTTTGAAGAGAGTCGTCCTGGGGTAGGGCCTCCCGGCCTCCCGCAATTCTGTTCACTGATGTATTCAGCAGAAGGAATGATGATACGGGCCTAGGTGCTTACTCCAGTTGGTGCGCATGCTAACGGGAGGTAACTCCGTGAGGTGGGGGCACGATAATAAATAAAAGAGTTTATTTATTGTACAATCTTTTATTCAAAAACATTGATACAACTGTCACAGGACATTTTCAGCTTGGAAAATGTAAATTGCTAGCAATATGGCATATAAAAACGATGGCATACACAGTTTTTATTACTAGAAAAAAACTGCTAAATCGCAGGTGCCAGCTATTCATGAGACATGACTTACTGTGTATGAGTGTGCTCAGACTGTGGGGACTGTTGCTGGTTAGATACCACACAGACAGATATTTTTCACTTGCGTTTAATATCATTTTTTTGTAGGAACTTCTTTTAGCATTTGTTTAGTCTTCCTCAAAATGATTGTTTTCAGAGTAATATCAGGAAGTGCAAAAACATTTGAGCACTTATAAGTACAAAAACACAGCATAGATAGAACATGGATGATTTGTCATTTTTTGTCAACCATAAAACCTTATCTATCTCTTCTGAATAAACTCTTTCTCTTGTTGCTCATGAAACTGTCATATCATTCATTCATTACCATAGTTTTCATGTTTTGTGATCCAGGACATTGCGGTTCACACTCGGGTCACACCTATGCAAAGAATTATTGCAATGAAGAAATTCATCAGGAGCATCAACACCAACGATGAGGCAAGGAAGCAGCTGGAAAACTGGGGTCTTGAGTTGGAAACAGAGACAATAAGAGTATGTTCAACAATTTGGTGTTCAATTGGGAGAGAAATTAGATGTATTAGACCAGTTGTGTGCCGTTTGTATTTTTCTGAAATATGTTTTGTGCTCTTCATCATTTTTATTGCCCAGAAGACTTTCCTGCTACTTCATGGCATTTGTTTTTTCAGTTTGTTTTCTCTTGACAGTTTTAAAGGAAATTATCCCCAACCAGTGTGCAATCTTTAGCCTTGAGTTTCTAGGCATTCATCACTTTGGCCTTTCAGTGAATTATTTAGTGGGTTATAATAACTTTAAAATAATGCAGATTATGGTCATAAAATGCATCATATCAGCATGATGAAACCTTTGTCATGCTAGAAATTCTCATCTATTTTTGTAATCTTTTGCTTAGTTTCTACAATATTGGCCTATTTATTTAGTGGGCAAACTGTTCCTATTTTGCAACATTACTTTGGTTGCTTAGTTTTGTATGAAGACTATAATTACTTGTGAAATAAATACACCATGTACATATCAATAAATAATCCTGTGAAATTCATGTGATATGACCAGTATGCTGAATGTTTTTTGGCTTTGACTGAAAATATATAGGGGTCAAGTTTATCATTCAATAAGTTCTGAAATTCAAAATTCATGTATTTGGGGTGTTTGAAAGACAAATACTTACAGTCAATAATTTAAACATACTAAAACCTTTTTTTGTGTAAGCTTATGTTTTATAGATTCGATAATCGTTAACATTCTTTGGATGCAAGAATCATTCTAATATATATATAGGCCGCGTAGCTTGGTTGCTTGCGAACCAAGATACCCCAATGTCATGGATCGTTGTCTGTCCAATGCAAGTTATTACAACAGTTGTACTCATCAATTTATATATTGTTTTAATGTGCATTTTAAAATTGAGTTTCACTGTTCATTATCACTTTTGGTAGATTGAGGGTCGATTGCTGAAGGAGGAAAAGATAAAAATGCGTCAGAAAGACTTCATGGCCGGTCCAGAAGCTGATTTTGGGCGAGATGTGACCAGATCTGAAGTGCTTGTTGCAGTTGATCTTCGCAACTGGATTGTCTTATACACTAAGAAAGACACGCCCAGAGCTACAGAATATATACAGATGATGAAGAGAGTGTGTCCACAAATGGGCATTCAAATTCAAGAACCATTAAGACGGGATTTGAAAGATGATCGCACAGAGACGTTTGTTAGAAACTTACGGGAAAGTGTCAACCCAAGGGTTAGTGTAAAGTTAGCCTTTTATGAAAGTCTCTCTGTAAATATAGTGGAAATGATTGATGTGATATGTGAGTTAAAGCTTGATTGCATTGACTTGATCATTCTAATATTTCATTCAGATTCAGTATTACATGCTGACGACAAGAACCACAAAAGATAATGAAACATCCTCTTTTAATCTTACAAAGAAGATGATAATTTAAGTAGCTATGTGAACAGATCTCAGTGAGTCAAATGAGGAAAAAATATTTTGTAAATACTGTATAGTTCAGAATATATGTTAAGGTTTCACACTGAAATCATAAGGCAAATACCAACACGTCAGATTGCTTGTATCCTGATACTTCAACCACCACAATATTCCCATGCAAGAATAGTCATATTATGCTGAAATGGATATGTAGATATGTAGGTATGACTTGTTTTAACCCATGTTTCTGTGATTTGATTATAGGTTCAAATGGTGGTTGTGATTTGTCCTACCAGCCGAGATGACAGATACTCAGCAATCAAGAAGTTCTGCTGTGTTGAATGTCCTGTGCCTTCACAGGTATGCATTGCACATTTTCAGTAGATAGCATGCCATTCAGATAGACTTCATCCTGCCTTCAGTTAAAATAATAGGAAAGATGAATCAGCAGTTTCATTATACTTTGATCACTATGATATCCTGATGGTACACAAGAGTTCATAAAGTCCACAGGATTGAGGGGTCAAATGCTTATTGTCAGGAGGAAGTCAGAAGTCTTTGGGTTCCTTTTTAGGGAATGCCTTTAGAGTCTCAGTACCGATTTTTGTCAAAAGCAGCAAACTGGTGACAAATGGAATAGGGTTGAGGCCCAGATTTAGATTACTTTAGGCCAGTGAGGCCAACAACAAAACAAAATATTCACACTCTCTGTAATTCTTCAATTCTCTTCCAGGTTATTATCTCCAAAACAATTGGAAACCCAAACAAACTGCGAAGTGTGACTCAGAAGATTGCCCTTCAAATGAACTGTAAACTTGGAGGCGAGTTGTGGGCTGTGGAAATTCCTCTGGTAAAGATTTTAGTAGTGATGTGTAATATCTACTCAGTTAAAGGTGGATACATATATGAAAGAGTAGAAGTTATTACAAATTCAATATGAAGCTTGTCAATGAATTTTGGTACACTCAAGTTCATATATAAAAGTTTAAAATTATGGACTAGTCAAATAAGTTTGAATCGCAACATTCCTGTCAAGGTAATGAAAGCATTTCTAGTTATATGTACATATACTTGTGAATTGTGTCACTACATACTCAGCATTCTTGAAACAGGATTTGTCTTCAGGGACAATTCAAGATGTGTTTTTCATACAGTACATTAAAGTTTGCCCAAAGTGCAGGGCCCACCTGAAATATGATTGACTTGTCCCTAGTTGGGGACTAGGCGAACATTGTGCATATGAGAATTCTGTATGGACCATGAATATATTTCAGCTTAACTGTCTACTTCTCCATCCATGATAACAAGAATTCACTGTACATTCATTATCAAGGTTTGAACTCCGTTCGTCTGTCTGAGATGATGGTGACTTTCTCAAAAAGCGTTATAGATAGGAAAGCCAAATGTGTGTTTTCAGCACATGTATGCCTGGATGGAGTTCAAAAACGGAAACCGTGTTACAGTTGGTTACAGAGTTATGGCCCCTGTCATGCGTTTCTTGACTTAGTGCATGGTATCCCCAATGGGGACAGATTTTCTCAAAAACCATTATAGATAGGGAAACTCAAATGCCTTGATGGAGTTCGAAACGGAAAACGTGTTAGGATTCTTTACAGAGTTATGGCCCTTTGTCAGAAGTTTGTTAACATTGCACGGATTTTCTCTGTAACCGTTATAGATAGGGAAACCAAATATGGTATGTTTTTTCAGGACATGAATGTCAAGGTGGAGTTAGAAAACAGGAACCAAATACGATCAGAACACTGTGGCAGGGAATATTGATGACCATGTCTTCTTGTTCAAAATGGCTGTTGTTTGCAAGTATCATTTGAGTGTTCTATCATGCCTGTCCTTAAATGGTGTTCAATATGTTTTACAATTATTATATTTTATGTAATTTTAGCAGATTATGATCTTTACACATAGATCAATAAATGTTCAAATTAATGATTTACAGAAAGATCTGATGATTGTGGGAATTGATGTGTATCATGACGCAACAAAAGGCAAGCGCTCCATAGCTGGGTTTGTTGCCAGCACCAACCGCACATGCACTCGTTGGTTCAGCAGAGTGCACTTTCAGCTGCCACATGAAGAATTGGTCAATGGACTAAAGACAAGTCTTCTCTCTGCTCTTAGAACATACCATGAGGTGAGTCCTGATCATTGTTCAGTGTTCAGTAGGGCTGTTTATTGGCAGCCCAAGTTGTCAATGCTGTCATTTTGCGATGTTGAAAGGTTCTATTGATATATGATATCTAATTTTTGTAATAATATATGTCTGGTCAGTTTGATTGTAGATGGCATTTCATTTGAGTGTGACGACTATAGTTTTAATTTTGTAACTTTCAGATTAATCACAAGCTGCCAGAGAAGATCATTGTGTACCGTGACGGAGTTGGTGATGGACAGCTTAAGGTAGTGTCAGAACATGAAGTGAAGCAGCTGGCCACTTGTTTCAAGCACTTTCCCAACTATGAGCCCAAATTGTCTGTAGTTGTTGTCCAGAAGAGAATCAACACAAGGCTTTTCTACCAGGTATGCCATATACTTGATAAATATCTTCTTTAGCTTGTATTTTTGGAACGTCGAACACAGGATACTAATTGAGTCGGATCAGCAATATGAGCTTCCTTTTTGAAAGAGACCCTGTTGCATCCAAAATGAATTGATATTTAACCTTTCTGCCAATTCATTGTATCTTGATACATCTGTAAGTTTGTGTTTTGTTCTTGCAGACTGGACCTGACAGGATAGACAACCCACCACCTGGAAGTGTCATGGATCACACCATCACACGTAGAGACTGGTATGTTAATGTTCAGTACCTCAGTTTTACTTTGAGGATGCTCTGATGTATCTAATACAAGTATTTGCATTACGAAAAACAACATTCATATTGTTTTGCCATATTAAAAATTGTTTTGTGAAATAATAAATACTTCGAACAGTAACATCTAGTATTGATATATGTCATAATCTGCAGACTCAGACTGCCAGGCAAAGTGACACACCAAAATTCATACAATTTCTATAGAAAAGAAGTATTCAAAATCTTCAAATTGAGTGTACATTCCACACTGATCAGTGACTAAAGGAGTTATTGTAGGTAACAGCTGACCATGGTTCAATCTTCTTTGTTTTTAGGTATGACTTCTTTCTGGTGTCACAACATGTGCGACAAGGAACTGTGTCCCCAACCCACTACATTGTGGTCCATGATGGCTCTAGCATGAAGCCTGACCACATGCAGAGGCTGGCCTACAAGATGACCCACATGTATTACAACTGGCCAGGCACAGTCAGAGTTCCAGCACCTTGTCAGGTAAATGGTGTACATTGTCAATCTACCTTGACCTTGGGAATATTAGTGTCTGGTTGACTTCATTTTTGGAACCTTATTTGGAAACACTGTATTTATCTGTTGAATGACAACAAAATTTATGTAACACTTAATTATGAGCAAATACAAGTGCATTCTATTTCCTCAGTATTTCAGGATATTAGGATTTGGATTGAATATTGATAGAGTATTTGCTTCACTGATTCATTTGCACCAAAAGGTATTCTTGGATGGAATAAGTCCCCAGTACCTGATGGTTTTCTAAAATCATCTGATGGTTGTTAAAAATGTTGAGCTCAATGATTTATGTGTCATCAGGTGCCATTGCATTGTTTGTTAACCATGTTATCATTGTTCAAGTTACATAAAGTGATATATCCAGAATAGTGATGACTGGAACATGAAATAAGAGGCATCAATGTTCTTGAATATATGATTGTGTTATTGTCCCGCAAGTTCCGATAAGTACTATAAGAATACAGTAATATATTTAATTATTCATGTGAATATGTACACAACTATCATAATTTTTAGTCTGCTTACTCTTCTTTTCAGTATGCTCATAAACTTGCGTACCTGGTTGGCCAGAGTATTCACAAGGAGCCAAGTGAACTGCTGTCAGATAGGTTGTTTTTCCTGTAACATCACACTGAGCATACAGATGAATGTCCTCATGCCAGACATAAACTTCCATCTCAGGAAATGTAAATAGTCAGGCTCAGTCGTGCTTGCAAATGACTCAGTTATAAGTGTCAAATATGTGAGGCTGGAAAAGCAAGTGGTGCTCGTGTGAATGTGAGCTTCAGTAACAATCGACACTCCTCCATTAGAACTGACATTGTGATGATAACAATGTACTTTGTTGTCATACGATTCAACAGGATGGAAATGGTATGTGTATATTTGTTTCCATGATCATTAAGTTTGAGTTGAACCAATGAGTTACGATATGTTTGTTAGTTCAGTTCTCTTACAATAATTTATGTATTTCATATTTTGTGTTGTTGCTTGTGATTTTAGAAAGGTTTTAGAAGTTGAAAGATTGTAAAGGTGATGTGATAAATTAGCATATGCAGTATGAAGTGTATTTGGCAAGAAAACACCATGCAATCTACACAATGTGTACTTGCAACAACTGAAATAGTTCTGCTTGCCTTGTCTTCACTCTTTGATAAATAAGATCAATTTCATATGGGGCCTTATCATTCAGACTTTCAAGCTTGTCAGAAAGTAGAATGTTGAGTGTGTGGATATCTAGTCAAATGGCAAGATTTCTATTTTCTGACATGTTTGTGTATGTCATTAGCATATCGTGACACTGTACTCCAGTTCACAGTTTCATTCAGAGGTATGATCAGGTTATGAACACTGAATACATGGCACTTCATCTGACTGACAATAGACTATGCCGCAAGCCTCTGCATTCTTGCTTACTGGAAACTATACATGGTATCTCTAAATTGGGTCAAGTAAAAGGAGTAATTGCAGACAAAGTCTTTTTTGCGGCCATGTTTTATTTTTGTTCACCGAGATATGAAATCGGGGTATTGAACAGTATTAACAGAGTAATAGAATTATCGGTTGACGTAACATTACAACACATCTAGATGGTCTGTTTTCCCTGTATGAAGAATATTAAGGTAATGTTTTAACATTGTTAGATTTACTGCAATATCTCCTGCTTTCAGTGCAGTCTGCTTCTACATTGCCGGTTATGTTTTACACTGATACACTGCTTGTGAGTACAGTTGTATTATCGTGAACCTAGCATTGTCCAATGTACAGGATGAAATAAAAATCCTTTGTAGGTAAAATAGTGGGTAAAAAATGTATGAAGTATGAAACTATCCATAACTTTGAACATTAATACAAGTGTCAATACAGATGTTAATGAAACCAGGGCATCGCTTAATGAAGTTATGATTGGATGGGAGAAACTTGGGGGGAATTTGTCTTAAAAAACTTCATCCTTGTGTAAGTAATGCAGCAATCATGTTGAGCATTTCTCACACATTATTTAATGTTTTCAGAGACTGGTTTAAGTAATGTTTGGCATCTGCCAGACATTTATTAATAGGGGCGGTGGGGTAGCCTAGTGGTTAAAGCGTTGGCTCGTCACGCCGAAGACCCGGGTTCGAATCCCCCGCATGGGTACAATGTGTGAAGCCCATTTCTGGTGTCCCCTGCCGTGATGTTGCTGGAATATTGCTAAAAGCGGTGTAAAACCAAACTCAGTCAGTCAGTCATTTATTAATACATGAAAATACCCCTGTGCATTTGGAACACAAGCATAATATTTATGTTGTGACTCTTGCTTTTCAATCCTGTTCAGTGCAATGCAGTGGGTTTATAGCTTTCAATAAAAAGGGGACTTTTTCAACAATTATCTAAGTAGATGGTACATATGCTAGGTCTCTATGTAAACTCATGTAAATTTGGAACTTGTTTCTGGCAGCCAGCATACTTAATATGTCCGAGGCTCACATGTTGGTAAATACTCACTAACCCCTGGATACATTCCCTTTGGTCTCTTCACAAATTTTACTGTCCAATCAAGTATTAGCATGAGGGAAGAAGGTTTTAATAGACATGAGGACATTTTTTCTATCAAAAGAGGTGAGGTGGGGTAACCTAGTGGTTAACTCGTAAGCTTGTCACGCCAAAGACCCGGGGTTTGATTCCCCACATACCGGTAGGTACAATGTGTGAATCCGATTTCTGGCGTCCCCCCCCACCCTGATGTTGCTGGAATATTGCTAAAAGTGGTGTAAAGCCATACTCACTCACCCTATCAAAAGATGTTCGATGACTTTCATTTTAATGTCAGTCAGTTTTTAAAATAATAAATTTCATGCAAAATATTGTCATAATCTGACTGACAACCATCTTGTTCTTATTGCCCAACCCAACATTGAGGCTGGCTTGTAGCTCGCATTTTGATTGGTAGATTAGACCTTGGCAGTGTTCACGAATGGTGTTTCCAAGTAACAGGACATCGGGTCCTGTAAGTTTCAGATGTCTGTCTGACCCATTGAAAATTCACAGGACCCATAGAATAAAATTAAACACACATTTCAGATTTAACATTTCTTATAATTGGCATTGAAATTATTAACAAACATAAGATTTAAACAGCAAACAAGTGTCACATGTCACATAAAACAGCTTCAGTCAAAGTCATTTTTTTTTAAATATACAGTCAGACACTGGGGATGGCGGGTTGTGGACTACTATCGGACCGTTGGCGAATCTGCCAGATTTGTCAGAGGGTCAGATAATCGTGAACAAGGCCTTGGAGCACAGCAGATCAAATCAGCTGACGGGCAGGTAATTTTGATGTGAGAACCATGGGAATAGATTCAGTTGTTAACATTGATTACAGATATGCTAGCCTTGGAATTTCAGAGGTATATATCACAATACATAAATATTTGCGGAAGCAAATTTTCAAGCTCAATTAGGTGATAAGGGAGGAAGCCAACAATTGCATTGTCTGTTCTTGATGCTGGGCAGGAATATTATTATTTCTTAGGAATATTTACAAGGTGTGTCAAAGTTAGGTCAGAAAGTCTTCCAGTTGGTTTGAATGGAAGAGAGTGTGGTGAGTACATCTAGCTCATAAACTGAATTGTTTCATTTTATTCATGATCAGTGTGTCTTACTTTGAAACCCATTTTAACTTCACATTTGCTGTGAGAGACAAGCATCTGTGTGATTTGTTGATTTCTTTTAAAATAGCATCATTATTTTGAAACTTGATAGATTACCAAATGAGACAGTATAACAAGTTTGTTTTAGATCTACTGTTAATATTTAGTTTAGATATAATATCGTATCATAATTATGTTGGAAAAGTGAATGATAATTGTTCGATATTGCAATGAAGAAAATTCATATATGAGCTTTAAGATATGAAATAAATGATTTCTTATTGAGCACAATTGGATATTTAGATTATCAAAGAGTATACATCCAGTGGATTATACTTTTTTATTTCCATTTCCTTTAAGGTTACGTTTTTATTGATACATTTTAATGCTCCATAATTACCTGTTTATCTAAGAATGTTAATGGTAAGATACTTCATACATTTCAATGATCGTTTATTTTGTCATTTATCAAAATTGGAAACTAAGGTACTGATGAGGAAACTGCCTCAGATATTTTCATCTTCATTTGAACTGACCAACCGTTGTTCCATACATTTTATACGCAATTTAAAATGCTGTTTGATAATAAAATATAAAATGAACCTTCCTTGCAGTTTTTTGTTTACATATGTAACTGACCAGCTGCATAACTGTTGGAGTTACTAGTCTGAAGATTTGATACTGGCTTTGTTGACATTTCGAGTTCACTAGACTTGGATTTTTCTGTTGTATTTTCTCAGCACTCTCAGTCTGTTCAGTCATTCTGTCATGTCCCATACATCCTGAGCCCCGTTCCTCAAAGCGATCGTAGCGCTAAGATGATCGTACCTCCCATACTTTAACATAGAAGTAGGACTGTCGTAGCGCTATGATCGCTTTGTTGAACGGAGCCCTGATTAGTTTTGATAACGTTACATACTGATGTCGGTATTATGAGTTACCGGTTAATAACAGGATGATTTGCCCCACCTGTCTTCAGTATCCTCGTAAGTTCCTTTTATTGTAAATTATCTGCTGAAATGTGACCAAGAATATTATATTTCAAACCGGAGATTGTTTCAGGAGGGTAAAACAATAAATACATACAGGCGTGAAAATTGTTTTGTACTGTTGAGCATTTTGGTCAAGACAATTATTTTTGCCGCTATCAGTAGCGAGACCTGAAACGAACAACAATATCAGGGAAGTATGTTCTTGAAGACTGGTTTGGTACATCCATATATTTAGAGCAGCTATGCAAATTGAGATTGGCACAGGGGATTCGCTTGTGGGGAGTGACTTAGTGTGTAGAAAAAGGTGTGTATTAAAAGGTTCGTATCTTATGCACCTCTGAAGATCCTGGTTAGAATTGGTCTCCAGTCTTGTACATCGTGACTAACGGAAAATTGGTCTCCAGTCTTGTACATGACGACAATTGGCTTACTTGTGATACACATCAACCCTGAATCCGCCAAATGCATAGACCATATGCGTAGCTATGGTCATAATGACAATGATTGGATTGTGTTGTCCACACTCATTTTAATACATTTTGTAAAGCGCCTACTGTCCACCTTACAGATGCTATACTCAAATAATTATAGATCGGCGTCATGCTGCTAGATTGCTGCTAACAAACATGGTATGTTTTGTATGTCCTATGGGTGATCACTGACGAGATCACAATAATAAATCATAGACATGATTCTGCAGTAACAATATTTCAGTATTTTGACGAACGTTCACTGGTATCGTTAGTATTCGTCCTAGAGTATAGTAAATGTAATTATTATATGCAGTTGGTACGATATATGGCTTGACTACAGAGGAAACAGAATTAACATTCATTTTAAGGGTTTCTGTATGAATAGAAAAGCCAATGTGCAATTTTTTTAATAGTTTGCTTACTTTGATTTCGATTCCAACCTGGATAAATCGATAACTAAATATAATTCAGATTCATACTGCATTTCTGCATTTATAATTCATAATTGACATCTCACGCACGCACGCACGCACGCACGCACACCTGTAACAATACCTAGAAAGCCACTGTAACATAGGTAGAAATGACTGTGACGTGGATTTATGGGCACATTTTCATCTTGGCACAAGTTTGCATTATGTTTTGATAGGCCTCGATACAAGAACATCTTAGCCTCTCAACAATATTGACAGGAGCACTAATTAAGCACCACCCTCTTTTTCACATAAACGTAAGGTAAAACAATATGCTGATAAACAGAATGCCTGGTACTACCATCACAAACAAACATGTTGACACAAACAACTGGTACTGGTTTTGGTGTTGTGCAGAAAAGGTGTAACGAAGTTACTTCAACAACGCTTAAAGGTATCAGCCCCCAGCACAGCAGGAACTGGACCTTCGTATCATGCATTGAGAATCTGAAACTATTCCCGGTGCTGTGCCTTGGTCAGTTCTTTTAAGGTACAGGTAGAGAGGTACATCGAATCGTCGCTCTCACTGTATTGAAAAAGTTACATGTATTTTGAACTGCATAATGTTAAATCGGAAGATGCTATTTTTAAAAAAAACATGCTCAGTAAAGATGATCGTGAACATGCTTCTCATAACCTTATATTCTAACACCTTTATTACATCCTCATTTCTTGGTTTTACTACCCTATCTCAATCAATAAACTGTACAAAGCCTACCTGTTTAAATATGTGTTCCACTGGTATTTCCAGAATTTGTATACCTAAATCCAAACTAAATCAAATAACCGATTAAATATTTCAAAATCTGAGGAATTAATCCGGCGATTCTCAAAAATCTATGTTAATCAAATCCTAGCAACGTTTTCTGATTTACAGTAACTAAAAAGGTGGCCAATATTATATTTATTAATATAGCTGAGTTCAAATTAATTTCTTTGCAAAACTTGCATGATGGGCTAATTGGGCAATACCCTTCTGATCTACATACGCTCATTTATAGCTGTTTTTTGTCCTTCAAATATTTAAAGTCTTTTTTCAGCTTTTTCAACATGTTTCATCATTATATCAGCGTAACGTTCCTTGTACAATGGCCATCACTGCTGAGTGATGAAACCAGTTTTCACCTGTATAGAGGACTTGCCTCGAATCCTATCATCTCAACCTCATGTACAATGTATTGGTGAAGGTCGATGACATGGCAGCAAAAATAGAGGAACAACATGACGTCGTGGTCGGATGTTTTGCTTTCGTAATCGATCTATCACAGTCGTTGCTCTAATCGAAGTCAGGCATGTTGTCAAAGTTGCAGTATGAACCACGGCTGTGATTATCTTTCCGACATGACGTTACTCGGGGACGTGCAGGATGTTGGTTCCCAGGTCTGACAGTGTCTTCACACCTACTCTAGAATAACTGCATGGTGTTTTGTGCATAACGCTAGGGAGGTTCTGTCGTCAGCAAGTTTACCTTTTTTATCGTCATAACACTTCATCGATTTACTTTGTGTTTGAACGTACTTGTACCGTGAACAAATATAGAACGTCAGTGCAAACAAATACCCAGTCTTGACTATCGCCATAAATAGATTCCGTTTTGGGTAAAGGTTAAAGTAGCAGTGAAAATTATACGAATGGAAAAAGATGTATTTTAGCCTTGCAATGACCAGGATTCTTGATGGGTGTAATCATGCATGTACACTATAGTATTGTTTTATGCCCCTCGTGGCAATGTTCAACCATTATGGTGGCAGCGGACACCAGAAATATTTTCACTCATTCTACTCATGAGAGAATCGAACCGGGTCTGCGAACGCTTCACCCACCAGATTACACCTCTGTTCTCCTCGATACGTCGTCTAGGCGGCAGATAACAAATGAACTTGATTTTACCATACCCAAAATCAGTTTGATATGCTCAACCAATCTGAGAAAATTACCAGGGGTAGCAGTTGTGTATTTATAATCTGTAATCCTCAAATTCGAATGTTTTAATTTTTTATGTTCTTTTACCGATATAAGTCTTTAAAACCTAATAAAGCATTTAATCAATAAATGTATAAAGAAATCTTATATCCTGTTTTCACTGTTTATTAATCTTGATTTACAAAATATATACGATGACGCCAAGCATGAAATTGAGCAAAGGATGGTTAACAATTAACAAACCACAAATTCACACATAAAATATAAACATATTATTATCACAGTTGCTTTGGGGAGTTCTCTGTAAAATCAAATACTATGCATATGATAACATGAAGACCACAACACAACCACACATATATAACAACAACTTGGTATAGTTGGAGAAAACAGTGAGTGGATAATCGGCAAACGGTGACATGAAAGCAGGTTTATGTACGTTTCTGCTTCTATTACCAAACATGGAAGTCCCCATTCATCGAATAGCACTGACGTAAACACATCTGCCCTGTCAGACAAAAGAATAACTCATCTGCGATGGTGGCTAAATAGGAAACAAACATTTTGATGTATTTGATGCCCTCTGTATTTTGCGACTTTGTTCAATATGGTAACGTTTTGAAAACGTTCGTAATGATTTGTCAATTTCCCAAACTTTCAAGGGTATACTTTCTTTTTGCCCGGTAGTTTAGTCCGTTTAAATGTATTTTACAGAATATGGTTTAACGCCGCTTTTAGCATTATTCCAGCAATATCACGGCGGGGGACACCAGAAATGGGCTTCACACATTTTAACCCTATGGGAATCGAACCCGGGTCTTCAGCGTGACGAGCGGACTACAGCTGAGGCTACCCCACCGCCCCTAAATGTATTTGAGAGAGGAGTATGCGGATATAGTTTAACATCCTTCAAATAAAGGAGTACTCTCTTCCCAGGTCTGTTAACCATTTCAGTTCAGGCCTAGAGATTGTAATTAGTGCCCCTTGTGAAATTAATTAAGCGTCTTTATTCAGGCCTTCATGTGTCATGACATTTTGCTGGACGGTATATTTTTCTTTCCCTTGCAAGCCATACACACTACATACAAAACAAATAAGAAGTGTACAGTAGGGACATATCAGAATTGAACAATGCATTCTATATGAAATCATGACATTCATTTAGCTGAAAAATATTTACAATACAATGATAATATACCGTTGAAATATGATCATAATTGTCCCGTTTACACACGGCTAGATGTTACGAAGCTCCGTACACAACAACATGTGTGATAGACAATACTGATGAGATGTCGATAGCAATCCAGTACTGAAGTATTAATACTGATCAATACTTTCACGAGAGTCAAGGCACTCATTGCCACATAGTTGCCCTTTGTGTTTAACTTTGAGATGGTCGTCTCACACTTCTTCGTGTCTCCGGCCTAAATGTTTCATCAATGAACTTGTCGTAGGATATTTTGCCTGTCATGTCTCTATCAAATTCCGTCATCACGTGGTAAACTTCGTCTTCGTCAAGAAGTACATTGGCCAATCTGAGGACCGAACGGAACTCTGGGACAGAGAGATATCCGTTACCGGTCACATCGATCTTCCGGAATGCGCGACGTAGATTCTTCCAGTCACCCGCAAGCTGTAAACAGAAAGAATTCAATAGAGTGTAATATGGTTTTACGCCGCAATCAGCAATAACCCAGGCTCAACAAGGCTACGTATAAATCATACAGTTGGGGCAACCCAGTCAAATCTTTGTTAATATCAGCAGTGAGCCATGCTGTCTTCGTAAGCATTCGTAGCTACTCGCCTCTTACCGTGACCTACAAGAAGTCAAATCGCGCGTAGTAAAATGTGAATGAGGTCAAATAGTGTATGGAATGGAAAGTCCTAGCATCTATATACCCTGCGAAATACTTATAGAAGCGCTAGGATTGTTTCTCTGAAGTATTTCATTCATCTAGAAAGATATGCTTTGAACCTATGCCTTCACGTATGGCCATTTCGGATGTCTTAGTTCAATCAAATCAGCTTATGTCCGGAAAGCTTACTAGGCCTACCTTCTGTCGGAGTTTGGCTGTGATACCGTGCAGACCCTGTTGAGGTGGTTCAACGACATCGGCGATGGGGAGCTCCGGCTGTGGGTGCTGCAGCAACGACAACATGTTGTTGCCATGACGCCAGACCTGCTTCCTCAAGGCAAACGGCTTCAAGAACTCCACGTAAGACACCCTGCAATACATAGGCATAATGTGTATTTAGTAGTCTTCAGTGGCCTAAAGTAAAAGCGACAGGACACTACACATAGCCAGAGTTGCACGCAACACACAGCGAGACATATCATAAGATGTAACATACAGGAATTATATAGAGAGATGTGTCATGTTAGATGTATGTCGTACTATCCGCAGTAACACGTGTGACACGAGTTCCATGAGGGCTGCCGTGAAATAACACACACACACACACACACACACACACACACACACACAGAGAGAGAGACATCTTTAACTGACCTGCCGTCGTGTCTGATGTCGAACCTCTCACTGAGCTGCTCCATCTCCAGCTGGCTCAGATGTACACACAGCTCCGACAGAACATCTTTGAACTCCTCCCGGTTCACGTACCCAGTGCTGTATGGGTCCATGTTCACGAACTCGCGTCGTAGGTCCTCCCACATGTAGTCAACCTAATTACAGGTATAAAAACACATTTTGTAAATGAACATTGTACGATTTGTATACTGAACCACAAAAGAAATGTCGCACCGATAGCGGTTTCTTAAAGCACACACTTTAATTCACTCTAATTAACAATCAAAACGGAGGATTGAGTTCAAACTTGACAATTATGGTTAACTCATTTTCGGGAATCACTGTTTGTCGTGTTCACACAAACAAAATCACCCAAAATGGTACCATTAAGACACCCAAAAGTCAGTATTGTGTGTGGCCTCCTTGGGCATCGATGACAGCGTTGCATCGTCTGTACATGGAATGAATTAGCCGGTTGATGAAGGCCATGGGCACTTGGGTCCATCCTCTGCGAAATGCCTGCTCGAGTCCAGCCGCAGTTGTCGGCCATGGTTGGAGGTCATTGGGTCTTCTTTGAATCTCGTCCCACAAGTGTTCTCTTGGACTTAAATCCGGACTGAGTGCAGGCTATTGTAGAGTTTGGCTGTCATGTTGTCTTAGGAAGTCCAATGTTGCTCTGGCAGTGTGGGCACGAGCGTTGTCATGCTGGAATATTTCGACTGTCGAAACACAACATCGGCTTTCATGAGATAAAAGCACAGTTCTCCATTGTCGATAACGCCAAGTGCGATGCTGAGTTGCCCATTTTGGTCGGTTTGGGCGGTGATGAGCGGTGAGGACAGGACTACGATATGGTCTTTGACAGCAGAGTTTTTTTCTGCGCAGACGCCAGCGCTCTGTATCGGCACTGATGGGTCTGTTGTGAGTCCCAATGGTCTGGCGTGCTGTTTCCGTCGCTCTGGGGAAGCGATCCTGCAGATGGTGGCGCACAATCTGTCAGTCTTGACGTTTTGATGTTGCTGAATGTCGCCCACTGCGTGGACGGTCTTGGATGCTGTAAGTGACCTGATACCACTCCTGCAGTCGTTAGATTTTCCTAACATGAACATTAAAATGATTGGCTACCGTCCGTGCAGTCGAGCTGGACAACTTGAAATCGTCCCAAGACTTGGTTCCTCTGATCTCTCGTAAGTCGTGGCATGGAGATTGTGTCAAAGCAAAAATGATTTCAGGCGAATTTGGGACTCACTCTCATTGGTAGGGTTATCACGACATGGACATGCATTTTCATTTTCAAGAACCTTTTATACAGAACCTTTTATCATGCCTTTTTCGGTGCATTTGGTCGATATGCTTTATCATCAGAAAACACACTGATGTTGGTAATGACTGTCAATTTGGATTGAAAAACATGTTAACAAAACGGCACAACCATAATAAAAACACCACCTTGTAAGAACACACGTTTGCATTTGGTTTTGAAAGGCGACGTTTCTTTTGTGGTTCAGTATATATCGTTGATAGGTAAGTAGATTAACTAGATCTAGGGTAACCTTATTCTGTTGGTTCAGCGAAAAGTTATGGCATGTCTACACATTTAACCATTAAATATAGTATGTATTTGGCGTTTCAGCAAAGTAGTGCTGCAAACAAGACATAAGGGTTGAGTCCCAACGTCGCATCCCGTAATACCACTTTCACGGCGGTAAATATACAATCGAGCGTGGACCAGAATATTGGGTGACAGCAAGTCTGTACAAGACAATCCAGCGACACGCCATGTGTACTTGTTTTGTTTTGTTGAAACTCACCTTGGAACGAAGACTGTCTTGCAGCATGTCCGCTGCACAGTTGAGCTTCCTGGACCTCAGCATGTAGTCAGCATCCCCGCGACGTGGGGGGGTTCAGTTTGGCGTTAGGGTAGGTGGCAGACCTCATGGAGAAGCCAAAATGGCGGACAAACTGCAGGTAGTCGAGTGTCCGGTCTGTGTTGGTGATGAAGGTTTTCCAGAGGTCGCGAATCTCACGTCGGGATACCTCCGGCTGAATGTCAAATCTGGGAAGAAAGCACACAGTGTCCTGGGTTATAGCGAAGGCGTTAAGAGAAAGATCAGCAAAATATACTACTTCTTTACGAAGTGTTGAACACTTTGAAGAAACATCATTGTGATTGTTCAAGTGACTCAATGGCCATAATGAGATACTCTGTAACAAGCTCCTTTGAGCAGCTGAGCTGAGCTCTCTCTCTCTCTTAACCCACACAGATACGTCTAACTCAACCAAATTACCAAATGCTGGAAGATAATATGAACTACCTCTTCAGTAGCTGGTACATCATCTCCGTCGTCAGGCGTCTGGTGTTGGTCTCGTCAAGGTCATAGAACGCACCCTCCACGTCCTGGTACCTGCGGTTCAACAAGTCCTTGATGACCTTGAAGATCTCTTGAGGTGTCCTCCTGACGTAGGTGTCCTCGAACTCGTCCTCCTGGAGCGGTTGTCTTGGAGACTGGGACTGCTCGGGCTGAGGGATAGTCAGGGTATCAGCTGTCTTTCGTTTGCCCTGGAACAGGCTTTGGGCCTTCCCCCTGTGAATATGAAAATATGAAAATACTAAAAGGAAATACATACTGAGATCTATGACAAACATCTGTGAATTTTTCTGCATTCACTGCACAAATACATGTGTAACTGTTAAGTGTGTTGATCGAATGTTGTAAACTAGTGTGGCAGAGTAAATTATCCATTAAGGAAATATCATGACTGAGATGATATCTGAACAATGTGAGATCAATGAGATGATGTCATAAGGTGCGATACCAAAGATATCATCTCTGAGTACCAATTGGCATAATAGAAAAGGTTGTGTTTGAGGTAGAATTGAATGAGATGTAATCGAGTCAATGCCCTTCATTTACCATCATAATTGGTATATCCGGGGAGATGGCGTTCACTTGAAGATTTACAAATACTCGTAATTAAGAGCGAAAAATACTTTTCCAAAAGTCGTTTCATGCTTACAAATATATAACAAATTTCTGATGATACCAGATGTTCACGGAAAGATGGGCGTGTACTTTCCCATCTCTAACATATGTCACAAACACATTCAAAGGCAAGTCAAACCTTTATCTGAACAAACATGGTAACACCTATTACAAGTCAAAATTCATGGAGCAACTCACTTTGTATCAAACAGCTGCATAAACTCGGCATATTTGACATTCCCATCTTCGTCCAAGGGTAATCTGTCTGTGAAAGCTTCAAACTGTGAGTCGGTCAGCTCCAGGTTAAACCGGCTTTCCATTGCGGCACGGAACTCCTCCTGGCTGATAACGTCTTGTCCGATCTTGTCAATGGACCTACAATACACCATCATAACCTCCAGTACCAACATAGATCTGAACACATTCAGCCTTCAACCTTCATTACTGACATCGTTCTACAGCACAGCACCACCTTCAGTACTGCAACACGTTACCCGTCTTCATTAGTGACTCTCTGAATCTTTATATATAGGCCTACATATGTAGCAAATACATTTCTAGTTCAGGTGGCAAAACAGTATGGGGATTAGGTGGGGAATAGGCTATGTGACTGTTCTTGAATGTTATCAGATCCTCGATATATCCGAAGTCAAATTTAGAGATGTCCGAGTGGTACCTACTTGAACGTGCCGAGTAGAGCCAGGAAGTCTCTCTGGAACATATTCATGAGCTGGGCCTCGATGGCACTGACGGTCGAGACACCGTCCACACTGCCGGGGTGATTGTACCTGGAACACAACAATACTACCATTATGGTACACACATAGCCTTTGGATCCAGATAAAATGGAACTTGCATCTTTGCATCTCGAATTTGAATTTTTGGCCAAACCAATATGCAAGCAAAAATGATTGGTTAGGGTGCGGGTTATTTTTGGCATCCATTTTCTCTAAATATGATTAATAAAAATAGAAACCAATATATTCCATTTGACAGTAATTCGAACTGATTAGACCCAAGAAAACTGCCCGTAAAGATTTGAATTAGCCCCTCTGGACGACCAGAAATTTAAAGCAACTTGCATGAAACTGTCTCCATGAAATATGAAAATACGTGAAAACTATTTTGATGTAATGGTGTTATAGGATTTATATGGCTTAAATGTTTGAATAAAGAAGAAATAGATAACGCGTATGTACTTGCTTCTGCTCACACACTGTAGTGAGACTTAGCGAACGTCGTCAGATAACAACTAGTAACGTTATACCAATTCAAAGTGTGGTCTTTTACATCATCACATGAAACCATGTTTAACAATGCACAAAATACCGAGAACTTTTAGTTATGCCATATAAATTCATTTTGATTCTAGAACCATTTTATTCGGGCACGTATGTATCAGTGAAATAGCTTAGCCGGGGAAGTCTGGGACGTGACTTTAAATTCCACCTCACTTCACCTTTATTCGAGAGTTCCATGTCAACAAACTCCAGATTGACAAGGATGCACGGAGACTCACTTGTGTTTCTTGTCGGTGAGGATGTTGTGGGTCATGCCATTCTCGCTACGGTCCTGGAACCGGTGGAGGAACTCCTTGTAGGGCACACCGCTACCTACAACCTGGACGCTGCACCGAGCTAGGAAGGATCCGAGGAGGGGCTTCTCCAGGTTCAGGCCGTACTGCTTCAGGACATCCAGGAAGTTGTCAAAGGATACCTGATGATGGATACCATTAACATTCGTTGATTTCTGAATGTCACGACCCAATTTCACTTTGCATATGTAATAAGATGGTGGAATAATGTCTAAAAGCATATTACTAATTTTATGTATTATATGCTAGCATCTAGCTGAGACTTTAGTCAGCTTCCCATCTGCATTCTGGGACAGACCCAAAAATTTAATACCAAAAGCTAACGTCGACTAAAGAGGGTGGTTACAATGTGTGGCTTGGCGGTTGTGTGTCTCGACGTCAGCAGGGTAGGAGTACCGACAACGCTTTTGCTCGCACCCTTTGAGGAAATTATGAACCTAAATATGATCAAAGTGTGTGACCGATCGTGACATATCGATGGTCATATTATCACTGTATAATGTCCAACGAGGAGAAAATCAAAGCGACAGAACACTTTCCATAACCAAAAAAATCCCATTGTTCGATTCCGGCTTCACCATAACCACGAGGCCTATAATATTGTTCCTCTGATCACACAAGATTTGGGTAAGATTCGTGTGCTGCTTTTTAAAATCTTCCCAGAAGGAGCATGCTGAATTCCACTTTATATGTTGTGAAGCACGGCCCACAAAGGCTGTGGCTTCTAGAACATTGCTCACTCTTTACAGTTGTAACGCCCACGACTCACCACGCCGGTGTTGTTAGTGTCAAGCTCCTCGAACGACTCCTTCATGTGGAAGAAGCCCTCCCTGAACTTGTCCTTGAGCCAGCGTTCTATGTTCAGCTGCTGTCTCCTCTCCTGCTCCTTGCGCCGGGGGGTGCGGCGCTCACTGACGGGGGTGCCATCTGGGACAGGGTGGACAAGTAAATAATTTGTATGCATGGATTACATGACATAATAGTTCTGTAGATTTTACTCTTTTGAAAGTTTGTAAATAGCATTTGTATGTGCAGAAGTGAGGCGTAAATAAAATGTTGTCTTTCTGTCTCGTTCCCGACACGTATTATATGTTAGCAACTGAGACCGGATCGTGTCTTGTTTCTGGAATATACTGCGATATATGCTGATACAGTGAATCTGCCTTAACCGGGACGGCACCAGAATTTTTCGTTTTGGTCAGCATACCAGTTAAGACAGAAATCCGATTCTAGCAATAAAGTACGTCACTTGGTTTCCCCAAGGAAATGGAATCAAGTCAATAATGTTGGAAAGTTACCAATAATACCAATAAGCATGACAGGTTGACACAACAATATTACTTGTATACATGTGCTGGGAGCAGCCACGCAAGCTACACCTCATTAAGCTGCTTGTCTACTTTTATCATTTGAAACAATAACGTGCTAGTCCAAGAAATGTCATTACCTAGGACAGTGACAACAATTGGGCTATGCTTCATAACCAGATAACATTGCAAAATGACGTTTGTGTAATAACTATGTTTTACCATCATCGCCGATTGGCCAGTTCTCATTTTATACATGCCTTTTTATGTTTCCAGCACTACTGTTATTCATAAACCAAGTATTTATTTATTGTAAGCATTGTTCATTAAATATATTTTCGCTCTTGATATTTGTTCGTGATCATTGAAGTAACACTATTCTACATAGAAGACAACCAATCACCTCCTTCTTCGTTGACCGGCGACAGGGGTTTCCTCACCCCCTCCGAGGTGGCGTTCCTCCACTCAATGCCCAGGGACTTGAGGAACTTGCCGCCCTGGATCACGCCCGTACCCTCGGAGTCATACCTAAGGTCACAAACCACAATACGAATTACCTCCCTTTAACTCGTCGGTCAGCACCTCAACTTGGTCACCAGCTACCTGAGGGTATGTGAACTGTAACAGTTTGCTTAGCAGGTGCAGATTTTACTACAGGTGTCACTATACATGTCGAATATCGTTGTCTCGAAATACTGATTATCTCTGTAATAGGTCACGTGGATAGTGGTGATCTTATAGTAAACAGCATTTCTGGTGTCCCCCGCCGTGATATTGCTGGAATATTGCTAAAAGCGGCGTAAAACGATACTCACTCACTCACTCACTATAGTGAACAGAGTTTATCAGCATGAGTGAATGAGGAAAGATTGCTTTATGCCGCATATTATCTGCATGAAGATCAGATGGTAAAATGTGTGACCTGATTGGTTTGTCATCATTTTGCCCCGTGATCGTTTCTCATACTCATATGTCCACGCCAGACTAAAATAACATGTCGCTGTGATATAGTTGTGGTAATGTTGCACTCTCACCCAACTGTCTATGGGATAGCGTCAGGCTTGTGGTTTGTTTCTAAGTAAACCCTTTGCAAGCATGTGGATTGTATGTCATGACTTATTGTGAGTTCCTAGGTATCTCCTAAATTGTAAGATCCATTAGATATGACTATTCCATATAAACGGCATTCTCAGGTTCTGTAAATCACTCTAATGCAAAGGGTAAACACTGATGAGCGAGGTCGACTACCTGATCCACAGTTTGTCAAACTCGTCATCCTCCATGAAGAACATCATCTTGTTGAGCATCTGCTTGAACTCGGGCTTCAGGATGCGGCCAGATCCGCCGGGGTTCATCTGGGGGAACATGTCGGCAACGTCCAAGAATCTAGGACGTAGAAAGCGTGGATTAACACATAGGTTGGAATGTCATAGTCTTAAAAAGCATAAAATGTGGTCCAAAGGAGGGATAGATATATGTCTGTCAAAGATCTCCACAAGACTCAACTGCGGATGCAATTTCAAAACAACAACTGCAGCAGTATCGGGCGATAACATTCTAATTCTGTGTACAACCGATGACTCGGCACGGATGAATTCTTCAGAACAAAATCAGCTCAACAGCTCGGCGACAATACCTATTTGGACAGGTAACCAACTGTAGATGATGGTAAGATTACTGGGCACTTCAGATTTCTGAGTCGTTTACCTGAATTAAAACTAAACTTTGTCGCGGAGGATAGTGACCAAATTGATATCTAGTTCAATTCTTATTTTGACCTTTCCAGGTATTCTCGGGGTAAGCGACTGACTTGATTTTGCATGTGTTCGTGCCATCGGTGCAGCAGGATACGCTCGTCATTTGACGAACACCTGGTGTCATCACTAGTGGCTAAAGATTCAGAAACACACGTTCATGGTATAGTGGCAATTGTAAATCGACTATGCCAGTAGCAGATATTTATTGTAACTATATTTACTAAGTATAAGTACCTCTGCTTTGCCTTCTCCTTGAGGTGCATGTGGACGGATGCAGCACTCATGGTGACTCTGTCTGTCCTGTTCACGGGGTCCATCCACTGAGGATAGTCCGATTCGCCAGGCACATCTCGGAAGTGACTGAAGAACTCGGTGAAGGAGACAACGCTCTTGTTCTTGAGGCCTATCCTCTCGCTCAGCCTGTTGAACTGAGACTGGCTGACTGGGCGGTTGATAACCACCATCAGTATACGACAGAATGCCTCTCTGAAAAGTAGCAATACAATCAAGAGTACTTTTTAAACTGTTCAGAATCAAAGTAGCGCAGACTTTTGGGAATGGGAACAAAGTCAAACTTCTGAAGGATATCAGGCTTATATTCCGGGATAGTATCATGACATTAAGGAGGTCAAGTTGAGTATAACGTCGATTCTACATACACAGAAATACATCGAAGAATTTGTTCTATATTGTTGTATATCAATCATGTATTCTACGTCCATGTGGACTGGGGTGTACTTTCATAGTTAAAAAGCGTAATTTTGTGTGGTAAAATACGGTATTTGTTCCACAGGAACCGGACACTGACCTTGACACATTGCCCTTGCCCTCAGGGTCGTTGTCCTTGAACCTTTTCCTGACCTCGTAGTAGTTGGTTTTCAACTTTTCTTTCAGCAAAGACTCCAGCTGAGGTCAGAACAATATTGTTATCTTTAAATTTATAGTTCTCTGGCGGGTCCTTAATATAAGGATCTAGATTTTCTAAAATCAGACTTAATACCAACATAAGCATTTAGCGAGTTCATGATCGAATGTACATGTTGCATCTCATCACTTGAATAGGTTTACAATGTTCCTGCGTTCGATGATTAATGAACCAGTTGTTATTACAATCTAAGATATACATTGTATCTCATACAACACTATTACAGAAGGATCGTGGGGAGGTTGCTCCAGAACATATGAAGTAATTGAACTTCTACTTCGTTTGTCTGTCAACTTACACTTACGTCTGTATACAAACCTAGCAGTTACTGATTATGCTCGTTTCACAGAGACAATGACACACTTTCCCAAGTCTTCTAGTCGTTCGAGAGGAATCGGGCACCAGACTATGGGGATAGTTCCCTTTAAAGCAATTTGACAACCATTGACAGTCTCTAAGTGAACTGAGGGCAAAAGCAAGTTAACAACCTTGAAAACTGGACTTTAACATTACAAACGTTAATATGAAAACGTTAATAAGCTAACAGTCGCGGAAACACTGGAAGCATAATAACAGAATTAAGACACCCGAAACCCATTGCAATATTTTTTCATATTTACCATATCACCATCAACAAACATACGAGTAGTGATTTTTTGCCCGGCAGTTTGTTATATTTGTACTTGTAGACTTCTAATATACCTAATATAGTGATATCGGGACACCGTTCGTGCCTTAGTAAACGAATCACATTATTGCTTCAATGTTTCAAGTAAGTTACAATCATCGTCTCCGGATACCTCATCTATTTCTATCCTGGCCTGTGTGCCGGGTCGGGACAGTCTGGTGGAGGCACGGCTTGGAGGAACCTCAGCCCGGTCAGCAACGCTAGCTCTGCTTCCTGAGGAACATACAAAGCAATGCATCACATGTGCAATATATAACATTATATATTTTGATATGAAATGTATTTGGGATTTTTCGGTTTGTACATCCGATGAAAGGACCTCGATAATCAAGCAGTCCCTTTGGTTCCTTGGCTGCCGGTATACTCTGGTCGTGGGTTTGAATCCAAGGTTCGTCCCCTCGGTTAATCTCTGCTGTAACCCTAGGTTAATATCATCACCATACGTTCTCCCATGGATTCTGAAGATGTACACTCTCGTCTGTTTCGGAGTTTCCGCAAGCATTAATATAACATGTTGAAATACTTTACATCTGACTATATTTCATTCCCTCACTGGATTCAGTTATGAAACATCACAGGTTGCCATTACGGTTTCACATAACGGATTGAATCTGAATTGAGCCCAAACACTGATGACATTCTCCACTACCGCGTTGTGAAGAAATGTCTTTTACATTTATACACAAGCATATACATATAATTATAAACTGCTTCCAACAACCTCAGTACCTAAGTGTATAATAGTATGATAAAATAATGTTTAATGTTTTCTTGCATTCCTTCCCAGTCTATTACAGAGTAGTAATTTCGCCGTCAATCGATGGCTTGCTGTGTGTTGGGGATGTTTGTCCACCACATCGAGTTCATCATAAAAGGTAGTTAACTAACATTCCCATTCAAGACAGCAGCAGCCATTCTCTCCAGGAATGTTCAACCAGTTGGAGCGGATAATCCAGTATCACTGTGTCAGATCGATGGCGCCCCCGTCCAGGAGGCCACGGGAAATGAGTGCTTGAGCACTTCAGATTAGGAGTATGACTTGGGAGTTATTATTCATAAACATGATTTACAAACACAGCAAGATTTCAACACTTTGACCATTACTCATGAGTTTTGGAGTGAGTGAAAAACCAAATACATTAATTAGGTGAATCAGTCACGTGTTTGAGATATTTTGAGCCTCTAATAACAGTTGCTAATGTTTTGATGATAATGTTTGAATGCAACGCTGAAACATGGAACAAGGGGCACATGGCATGAGTAGGATGAACAGAGGGACATTTAGAATCGTGTTGATGACGTATTTACGAAAATTATTTTGCCTAACGATAAGCTTCAAACTGATATTCATGATGTTCTGATGTTCATAGTTGTAATATCGTGGTAGTACAACCCAGACCACTACAAGACAACGCAACTTATACGTGGAACGTGGACACATATAATAGACTTCTTGATTCATTCATTTGGATTTTATATAATACCTGATATAACATTTTATTTGTTTCTAAATTCTGGTAATTGTCGTTCTTTCCTCGAGAAGAATAAATGTAGACCGCACAATAATGACGGATTCCAACGCATGTAAGAAAAAGCCATTACCAATACGTTATTCTATGATGAGTGAAAGAGTATGGTTTTACGACTCTTTTATTCGAACTATATCACGGTGGGGTACACCAGAAATGGGCTTCACACATTGTACCTATGTGGGAAGTGGGCGTGACGAGAAAACGCATTAACCACTAGACCACGCCCCTGGTAAGTAGATGTATGGTGAGTCAGCATTATTCCCGTGGCGATCAGTAACGGATGTCCAGACAAAGCCATTAGGCCATCGGGAAACAATAACAGTCAATCAATCAAGTCATCGAGTCTGACCACCTGGATTGTACGACACACATGGAAGCTGGGGAATTCTTACCCGGAATACTAATGGGGGTATCCTGTCTCATTTGCAGACGGGTGGGAATTAAACTGTCTTGTTATAACACTGAGCTTTACCTACATTTGTTTTTCGGAACAATTTATTATTAATTGTTGTGATACCTTTAGCTCTCTTAACCAGAAAGTAGTGACGGATGAATACTTTTCAAGAGTACACCAGTTAAAACTATTTAGGAATAAGACTTGAAATCAATAAAATTGGTGCATGGTGATCCGTTTCGGGTTGATAAGAGTTGCATTGTTTCTTTATCAGTAATGACAATCCTTAGGAAACTAGCAGAGTTATTGTAACTATGTAGACCATTGTCGCGATACAGGATATCAAGGCTTCTAGTGACGCTCATATCGTACATTTTGTGTATGATTTGTCTCCATTCCTGTTTGATTATCTCATTATGTGGGTCATCATGTGGCTATTTTAACAGATTAAGGCATCACAAGGGCGCTCCACAACACAGGTCAACACATATGACAAGGACTTTAAACTGTTAATCGTCAGCTGATCTTCAGTTCCTTAGCAACCGTAAACAAATGATTCAGTTATGATATGACGGTACACGCCACTGGAATATTCAAGTGCTATGTACATACCACTGTGTGGGGGCTGTCTAGAATTCTGTTTGTGCGTTACGTGTGTTCTCGTTTCTGTCCGTACCCTTCGTGTGATGTTGTGAAACATTTCGTGGACAATCTAAACCCGTAATAAGATCTGTACCCTCATATCCATTCGATAGTCGTAACGAAAGCATCGTTTTGCGCACGAGAATTCTGATTCCCCTGTGTTAGAAAGATTGTGGAAACGAAACTCGTGTAAATTAATACATAGTTTGTTTGGGTTCTAAAACATAGTAAAATCTGTACCGTTTTATACTATTTCTGTATAGTTGGGTGTCTCTTCGACTGGATCAACATGTTTTATGCTAATTGTTAGTTTTGCCGCCTTCCTCAGTCACTAAATACGAACGAGGACGAACGCGTTAGGTCTGTGCGTCTTCCTTATCAAACATTGTACCAAGCCCCGATAGTCTAAGATGAAACTGACTGATAAAAAAGCAATGCTGAATCAAGAATCAGGAAGCTCTTATGAATATAATCCCTTTCTTGTAGATATATCAAGCAGTGCTCGCTAGTGTAACAGAACCAGGACCCTACAATGGCAGGAGGTCAACACGGGGGGATACACGCCGTATTGCCCTCACCCTCCCTGTGGGCACCTAGTAACGAGGGGCACCAAGACAAGTGTACTTGACTTCTACCCGACTACAGATCTACATAATCCTGCTACTACAGATCGTGTACAGATGTGATGGACACCTTGGTGTGATCCTTGTGTCAAATACTGCAATTGATAACTGATTTGTGGGAGTACGATGTCAAATGTTATTCTAGTGTAGTATTTTACAGATGGCTAATGAAAGTACGATATTTTGTGTGAAACTCGTGTAGTATTGTAAAAGTAATGACTGGTTGCTGGAGGTGCGACATCTTGTGTGATGTTAGTTTAGTATCTTAGGGAATAATGGGTTGTTGGGGTGGGAAGCACGGTATCTAGTGTGATCCTCATGTAGTGTTGTGCAAATAATAACTGGTTGGCAGGAGTACAATAATATACTGAATCGTAAAGAAACGTCACCTTTAAAACCAAATGCAGTTGTTTTTTCTTACAAGGTGGTGTTTTTATTATGATTGTGCCGTTTTGTTAACACGGTTTTCAATCCAAAATGACAGTTATTACCAACATCAGTGTGTTTCCTGATGAACAAACATATCGACCAAACGCACCTACAAAGGCAGACGTGGTAAAGGGTCAGTATGACATTCATGAAAATTAAAATGCTCGTGCATATCGTGACAACCCTACGAAAGGGAGTCCAAACTCGCCTGAAATCATTTTTGTTTTGACACAATCGCCATGTCACGACTGACGAGAGATCAGAGGAACCAAGCGTGTGTGTGTGTGTGTCCAATATTTTGGCTTAAAAACTTTTGTTATGAGTGAGTGAGTGTGGTTTTACTCCTGTCCTAGCAGTTTTTCACAGTATCAACACAGGAGACACTATAAAATGAGTTTGAAACCCAGGAAGTCAAACCTGGGTCTTGGTCTTCATGAGCAAATGCTTTAATCACGTTCGTATGTTTGGCTTGGATTTAAATAACTAAATGTGTTTGGGTCATTCACAATGAATGGATACTGCTATAACATCCAGCTAATCACTCCGTCAATTTTAACTCCACATTGACTCAACCGGCATTCATTTGAAAATATCATTGACGATAACACACTAACAGAAGGTCAGATATTACTGCAGCCGTGTAATTGAAACAGACACTCGAAGAATTGATCAATGATGATTGATGTCGACTCTAAATTGAGGAACAACCGTGCGCGCACTCAATATTATTTACACTCAATATCGGGGTGCATTACCAGCCGACCCGGTTATCTGACTTAAGGACACGGTTGTTCAAGCAATGACATAGAACGTGTGTTTAATACAGTCGTAAAAATCTTTCCAGTCTGTTATCATTCCAGCCCCACTGTAATCCTAGTGGTAAAGGGAGCATGGAATTTTCTTTTTGTTCCGCCATGTTGACGAGGTCTTAATCCTTCGAGGGTACTCTTCCGATAAGTAAATCCGATGTTCTCCGAGTGGGCTTGTGTGAGCTCTGCTGGGTCCGGATAATAGCCGGCTTTGTGGTTGCCCGAGAACCAAGTATTTCAAACTGTATTACATTAGGTTAACGCAAGGTTTAGGTGGCGTCGTTATTGACTTATTATTGCCACCGTTCTGTGTCTCCATGGGCGAAGGAAGGGTTACCTGATTTATGTAAGTTCCAGTTTGTTACACCTGAAGGTTCATGTCACTCAGCTTGACGACTGAATGTGATTCACTTAGAAACAATACCAGCGACGTCATTTTATGGCCAACAGTTTCACAATAAACTCAGGATTTGTTTCAAGTGCGCATTTAAGTACATGAGCTCATAATCATAAATACAAAATCGTTAGGGCCTCTTTAGGTCCATTGTTTTTAATTTCAAGAGATAAGTTTGTTTAAAGTTTAAAGAATTAACATTAATGAGTAAATGTATTCAAGAATAACATTAAAAAGGCGTCTTGATCCCAAAATTAGTCATCGATGTCATGCAATGGGCTGGTCTGTATTTCCCACAAACAACCTTTAAATAATATTATGATTTAATAAAATGTAAGATAAATTCTACAAAAATAAGCCATGGACAGTCACATTTGATTTTGCGCCGTT